AGGACAATGTGTGCAACATTTGGGGTATGTTGGGGTGGTTGAGCCTGGCGCATAAATCGGCGCGTAGGTGCAATGACAACTGCAAACGGCATACAGGATGGTTGTCCCGGTAAGGTGGAATTTTGCCTCCGCGCTTTCTGATGTTAATGGGATCTGCTTGAGGATGTTTTCGTGTGATGAGCTAAGACTACCGTCCGACTTCCGAAATGCAAGGAACAGTATGATGATGATAATCTTCACAATCAAATCGCAGCTACTCCTGCTCATTCCCATGATAACCCTACATGCGATGCAAAGTAATAAGACAACTTGGCTGATTTCATCTGATCGATCAACTGAAACCTGAAAGGTATCTATCGTACAATAAGCAAAGAACCCGTGACCCACATGCTCGTTGCTTACCGGTATTAATCTCGATGGGTACCAGCACATCGTCAGACAGCTTATGCCTGCTGATCTGGGCGGCCAAGTCATCAATCTGAGTGATGATTGCCTGCTTTCGTGCCATTATGACATCTGCCCATCGACTGACATTCTCGACAGCTTTGCGAAGCAAAGGTACCTCGCGGCCAGCATCATTAAGGTTACCAGAATCCAGTAGCAAGCAGAAGATCCGTTGAATTCGGGACTCGATGTTGTCAAGGACATCTAATGCCCTCATGGTTCGCCGATCGCGTTCCTTCTTGGATACTTTCTCGCCAGCACCCTTGCAGGTTGACTTCAATGGTGGTGACAATGTTAACCACCCGAGTTCATCCGCCAGAACACAGACATGGGATGGAGCGATGCTGCTGCCAGCGGTGGTGCATGCGGAAAGATTAGAGGTGATAGCCGCGGGCTCAGCATGTTCAGCCTTTACACACTGGACATGAGCAGTGATTAAGTGTTCTGCCATCAACACTCCTTTTGGTGCGCCTGATTCGTCGCATCCGCCCCTGGTAATACACTCCTGACACATGCATTGTTTGAGCGATGGACGGGATGCAGGCATCAGGTGAATGACGACAGTATGTACCGTCGTCTATGGGTGATGGTTAAGTCTAGAAGAGTAAAGACTGGGATGACCATTTAAATACGATAAAAGAACAAGGACAAAGTGGGGGCGACTCACAACAACGTAAAATTTACAAGGAAAGCAAGGCGACAAAGTACAACGTGCCTACTTACATGGGCGCCGATAATGATAAACGAATGCGGATGAACATTCTGAGTATTTGCCAGAAGGAGCGTAGCCACACGGGAACGGAAATGGAATAAAGGTCCAGTGGAGGCAGGCGACGAAAGGATGGCATGACAGTACATACCGTCATGCCAAATATTATCGATGATAGATGAGGCCCCAGCAGTCGAAGTCGGCTCCTCATAGAAATGGAAGAAACAGAGGCGAGTGACAACACGACAGTACATACCATCGTGCCAGGACAATAAAGGATGACTACTACGCTGAGAGCAGTAAACTGCACTCACGTGACTAAAGCCTAACTTATGCAATCAACAAGCCTCAACACAACCACCTCCAAGTCCTTTTCGACTGATCAACTCTGAATGCTCGGTGGTATGTACTGCCGAGTCTGAGTCGAGTCCAAGTCTTCCTCCCACTACCCAGTGGTCTGTACTGCTGAGAAGTGTCGGGTTATTGTCCTCGCCTGACCATTTTCAGCTCAGCTAAAACCCTGTGGTCGACGCAGTTACCGGGCGACGACAAGCAGTCCTTCAAGCACCTCAGTCAAGCGAATTTTTCTGGCAGTCAGTTGCCTGCTCGCAACATATTTATATTCAGCTCCCAATTGTTTTGCGGGTTTTTGTTTACCTAGGTTCTTGATCTTTTGTTTTAGCGACTCCTGTATTACTACTTGTAGCACTATGTGCTCATCTTTTTGTAGTCACTTTGAATCTGATAATCCGACCTCTCCTAATATGATTCTACCCTTGACCTTCGACGTACTTTCCTTACTTTCCACATCACTCCTGGCATGAACCGCCGTATGTACCGTCGCATGTCCTTTCATTGCCTACCTCCAAGTTCGATGGTCTCATCTCTCACACAACGGTATGTACCGTCGTGTCATCGAGTCATCCTTTTGTTACCTGACACATTGATTATTGATTTACATCCTTTGGAGCATACATACAATACATACACTACACTACCGCAACCTGCATCCATTTGAATCTTTTGTCTGAGATTGATAACTTCTCGACCTGACGTTTGCTGAGGCCCATGAGCCATTCTTCGCTATACAAGGCTTTTGGCAATTCCTCAGCTGGTACCCTGGAGGTCTTCGGATTCCCAGCTGCGCGTATCCTTTTCATTGGCTTTGAGCCTTGGGGGGCGAATATATTGTCATCCGCAAGCCTCTGGTGATCGACGATATCCAATTCGCGTTCTACTGCACGACACCATACCATGTTCTTGACCCGAAGGACTGTTTCAATATCATTCTCCAAATCGCTCTCTTCCGAACTCATACCACATTCTCCCAACGTCTTCACTAGTTGCTGAAGCCACTGCCACGCTGGGAGGTCCTCTTCTTTATCATCGGTCTTCTGCTTAACGAGATGGTCAAGAACTGTTGCTCTACGGAGATATTTCTGAGAAAGTATCAGTGCTAGAACCATCTGGATATTGCAAGCATACATTTCTGCGACGTGTCGTTTGACGAGTCACCTTCAATAATTTGTCCTTCTTCGTGATTAACCTCTCCTCTACCTCTGCGGGAGTTTCCAGCACACCCTTTGCTGTGACCTTAGGCTGGGCACATGTCCAGACCATACGCAGTCGCTTGTAGCGATCTCGAAGAATTTTCCTGAAATACGCCTCTGACCTGGCGAATGGCCACCTCTCTTCATCGCCCCTTCTCCGTAATTCTCCAAGTAGCAGATCAATGATTCTACTATTCCAGGGGGTTTTGGACCCGTTCTTGGTATCGAATGTGAGGTTTTTCAGATCAGGACCTGGGCCATCTTCATATTCATATGAATACACATCCTCACGACGAGCTGCCTCATGGGCTATGAAATCAGCATCTTGAGAAATGTTGAACATATCTTTGAAGAGACGCCACACTTCTCCCTACTTCGCCATAAGTGTGGGAGCTTCTATATGATGTTGGGCTTACCAGCAGGAAGTCTCTTTCGTAGTTTGATTCGCTTGCCTTTTCACGCTGTACTTCTTCCTCCTCTGTCTTTCTCCTCCGGGGACTGCGCTTTTTGAGACCCGAAAATTCTTTGTCAATGAGAACGCATCTCAGTGCAGCCTCCACACCTCTTGCGATTGCGTCCTCCATGCTGAGGCTGGCACGAGGCGATGGATTGTGCTGCTCAGGTGGTGGTACATCTTCTTCGGATGATTCACGAGGGACTTCCTCGGTGTTCACCTACTGTCGTCAAATCTTGTATCGCAGCCAACAGCATCAGACCCTTACCTCTGCTACTATTGATACAAGGCAAGTCCTGCATGATACTCCACGAGTTCTCTTTATCCTTCTAATCACATCAAGGCATGGGGTACCTAACGACGGTTTTGCAGATGGTGTGGATGACTGCCCTGTGTCTCTCCGCAGAGGGGGGTCATTATCAATTTCTATATCATTGTCCTGTACCCTGTGACGCCTGGCAAATCGTTGTTCCATCCTGGCCAGCTCGCTCTCTTTTTCTGCCTGGAGTGCATTCAAGCAGATTTCAGCATATTGCCTGTAAGTTTATGAAACAACATTCTCACCTTCAACTTCTCAATTTCAAGCTGTAGTCTCCTTTCCATCTCCGTGAAGATGGCACTCGATTGTTCTCGACACTACCTTGATCGTCATGAACCATTTTCTTGTTAAGTTGTTTAGCTCACCTCTTCTTCTTTCCTTTTCCTTAATTCTTCCTCTCGCCTGGCCAGTTCTTCACCCAGCTCTGCTTTTCGCCGCCTCAATTCTTGTGTAAATCGCTTGCAAGTTTCCTCCAGGATTTTATGCATGCCAGCGTCTATTGCCTCGTGATTCGCCTGGCTGAGTGTTTCGCGACTTTCTCTGATATAATCTTCAAGTTGCTTCTGCTGTTGGGCGCGGTTCTCTTGCTGCTGAGCGTGGTTCTCCTGCCATGCCATGATGTCAACATGCATTGTCTGTTGAACGCTGCAAAGGAATTACCTCGAGTTCTTGGTGGACCTTTTCTAGTTGCTCTTCCCGCTCTCTTAGAGCTGCTTCCCACTGCTTTTTTATATCATTTTGCTACGGCCACCATCACATATTGGTAATTTGCAGTAAGATACTATGAACCATCTGCATTTCACGCCTCATAGTGTTGATCTGCTCCTCTTGACTGTATATGGTCTGGCGCAATGTCTCTGAGTAGTCGACTTCTTTAATGCGACACTTGTCCGATGTCTGTATAGACTGAGCTAGTTATTAACTTTTTTGTACTAGTCGTACCTTATCGACGACCTGCTTTTGTTGTACATGCAGCCTTTCCCTCTTGTCAAGAACCATCCTTGTGGCGGGCGGGCTTGTGACATCCTCTACAGTCTCTTCAAGGTCCATCTGGTCTATCTCCCCGCTTGATCTAATTGGAGGTACCGTATTGACGATCATATTGGAAGGCTGACTTGTATCGTCTTCCATGGCATCGTCAAATAAGCCTACATTGTTGTATGTTTGAACATCTTCCGGAAGAAAGCACATTCATACTGACATGGCAATAGGAATTGTGATTTAGGTTTGGACGTATATGTCTTTACTTTATATGCAGCCTTATCGCGCACTTATCGGTCATGAGTCGGGATTGAGATTGAACAAGGAATATATTAGGTTTGGCTTTGAATTAATTTGAGTTCAAAAAGTCACAAGTCAACACTTATTGTTTATTGTCGTAGTTAATATCCTGGTTAATCAAGACAATAGCTATTGTCGTGTGCGATGTGCTCGGTTCAAAGTCATGCTCGGTTCAAAGTTGTGTATGGTGGGTGTGTGGTTGGTGTGCTCGGTTCAAAGGGGGACTACTATAAAATCCAACTTTCATCGCCCACTTTCATCGCTCACTTTCATCGCCCATTCCCTCACGTTATCCTTAGCGCTGGTCGCCTTGTCACTTATTTTTGTCATTCCTTTGCTGCAATGGTCAACACTCGCGGGTATATCTTCCCTACATCGTTTGTAAGTTACCTCACCTCACTCCTGATCCTCGCTGACAGCTGTATAAGACTCCAGAGCTCCATTTGCGTTGTAGGCTGTATTCTGTGTCAGGGAGTAAACCTCACCAGGTCACTATGTTGACGCGATGCTCCAATCGCTTGCACAAAGCCCAACGCTTTCCCGTTGTTGAGAGCCTCCTGAATTATGCTGCCGTGCAGCCTTACGTGCATAATTGTTTTGTTACCCTACATGAAGGGAGACACATTTACCAGTTTTGCGTCTTCTTCAAGCCCTCATTGATCTGGTACCTGTCAGATTTACACGATACATTAAACATCATTTTCGAGCAAGGATCCCATGCACTCTCACGTTTGTGAAGCCACTAAGCACTCGGCTCAACCATCGGCTGGTTTCCAGGTTTCACGAGGCGGTAGTTTGATACTTGAAAGTGATTGTATAATGATTGTAGTAAATAATGAATGAGGTTCGCCCAGAGGGCGCTGTCATGAAGGATATGCAAACAACGAGGGACGTTATAACAGTGACCACAGGATAACGCACACGATGGTACATACCGTCGTAGATGGCTGGTCAACGATCGGTGGGCCTGTGGGGTCAGAGTAGCAAGGTTGAATTCAGTAAAAGGGAGGGAGGTAGCTATTAAGAGAAATGATTTACGACAGTACATACCGTCGTGTCAGGAATGACCCATCAACGGCTGAGTCGTAACTCGAGTTCAGGTCTTTCTACATGCATCCCTACGTCTATCACTCCACTTAATTTTTGCTCAACGTGCCCTTATTCGAGACTAGGTCCCAACAAATATCATGCTGACATTTTCTATGGAGTAATTTATGATATTGATATAGGGGACAGGATGAATCAAGTGGCCTGTAGATTAGCATTAGCCCTGACCTTCGCAATAATAATAGAGCTCACAGGCGATGTATGTGTCTTCCTCTTGCTCTTGCCCAAAGCCATCCCTGCTTCCTTCTGCCTAGCACGTCCTGACGTGTATTTCAGACGCATCATGATGATATCATTCACTGGCCAGCAACTACTGTAGTTGTCTAGGTCGGGGAAAGCATCAACAGCCTAATAGATCATGAGATTGTGGATGATCGCCATAGAAGGTGTACTGACTTTGTCGCGCACATATCTCAGGAGCGCAGGGCTTTGGGAAGAGGTGCACTTTGTGGTATTGAGATGTTCCTCGACAAGGTGGTGCATAGATTTCTTGAGGTGTTGATTTAGTAAGCAGCAGACCGCAGTGAGAACATGTCACTAACCTTGAATTTCGTGTATGCCTTTGGACTCCAGTTTAAACTCTCCTGGAGCGTGTATCCTCCCCACCCCGGACGACCAGGTTCGCCAGGGGGCTTGGGTATCTTTGAGTCTTCTGATAGACTTGCGGCCGAAGTAGACGAGCCACTGTCTGACACTGAATCAATGGAGTCGGAAGAATCGGAAGATACGGGTGACCGAGAAGAAAACCGCTCCAATGAGACTCTCTTCGGGTACGGCGAGAAACAACGATTGGTCTTGGATGATGGCGCCGCAAGTTTGATCTCAGGCGTGCCCTTGAGGGCAGGAATAGGTGGGACGATGGTGCTAGCTTTGGCAGGGAGAATCTCATTGGAGATGAGTATAGTTGGGTGATGAGTACTTCCAAATAACTCAAGCTGGTTGGTAAGCATGGGAGGAAACGGTGGTGGAGCACCAGGCTCTTGGTCGTAGAAGGGAGAGACAGGTATCGTTGTGTTGCGCATGACGGTGGCGATGTGAGCGGGTATGAACGAAGGTAACCTTCTAGCAAGATTTATGAGTATGGCACCACCTCGACTGCCATATTGGGTTGAAACAATAACCAATTATGGATCAACAAATACGTTGTCCAGGACGGCGATGACAAAAAAGATGAGAATAGAAAGTACAATGGATTTTAATAGACGACTGTAATATAAGATTGGCCCTAAGTTGCTCATGAAAAAACCGAACACAAAAGTCAGCAAAATGATCACCATGGAATCATGAACAAAAGTTTACTAAAACAAATAGAGTCATTATACAAATAGGCTGCGAGTTAATGAGCTGGCAATTAAAATTGATAAGATTATACGCGACAATGTCTCTCTTTGCCTGGTCACTCTTCATGAAATCAACGCAACACTTCCAACATCGAGCGTGCCTCTCTACCTATGGCAGTTCTATCCATGCGCTTGCAATTTCCAATGATGGCCAAGCTCTTGCATGCGGTGGTAACTCACATGCGTTCTAATTATGGCAGGGTGCTAACAAACAAGTAGGCACCGAGGGCGTTAAACTCTGGGATACCAGATCACGAAAAGAACTCACATGCTCTCCCCTTAACTGCGAGTTGCGGGGTACAGTCAGCTGCGCTGTCTGGATCACCACAAGACTAGGCATGGCGGAAACACTTTGTTATGGAACCGGTTTAGGTTATGTGGCATTCTTGCGGCATAGCCCAATAGATGTAAGAGAATCCTAGTTCATCGTTAGGCCTTTGCCTGACATCAACAGATGCATTTTCAGGAGATTTGTGTTAGGAGACTCGGATCGGGCTTTGAAATTACTTGCATGTCATGGGATCTGACGTCCTCCGATGCAGGTGTGCGGATAGCAATCGGAATGAGGGACAAAATAGTTCAGGTCCTTGTCCTCAACACAAATTCGCAACTGCAGGCTGTGTTTTCAGTGCAACTAGACAACACAGTACCTAAGTCTGTCGCATTTGCAGACGACCGAGGTGTCTGCATTTGGACTGTACAATGGTAATTTCATCAAGTTGAATGGCGACAACAGCACAGTGGTGAAGGAGTATACCTGTAAATCAGTGATGTCAGTCCACAGCTCACAATCAATATACAAATCACTAACATTCTGTCAGCAGTCACGCAGCCATCAATCAGAAGAGAGGCGTGTTTGTGGTCAACAATGCAGCAGACGGTTTTACGCTGTACCGACTTGACAGCAACGAGGAGCCAGTTCGAACATTCGTAACTGCTCCTCCAAGTGTGTCAGTACCCAAACAGGTGGCATTCGGAGCAGAAGGAAGATTGATTGTAGGAGGAAGCGACAATGGATCAGTGTATGTATTTGAAAGGAAGACAGGCAAGCTACTTGACACTCTTCGCCACTCCAATGGAGGCCTGGTGCAGACCATCGCTGTAGGTATTGAATTTTTGCCAAGGATAAGATATTGACAATCTTCTAAGACCCGAGATATTGATGGGCGCTGCACAGTCGCCACTGCATCACCAGCGCTAGGCCGCAGCAAAGCCACAATTAACTTATGGGTCCACGACTACAGCATAGGAAAGGCGACTCTTACCTCTAAAGATTCCTGGTCATTATTACATATGCTGAAGCGCATGTTTACGCTTCTGGTTCACTTAAGTGCCTTGGCGCTCATCGTCTCCTTTCTGATAACCAGCTACTCTGTGAGTCAATGGTTGGCTCGGCAACAATTGGCTTAACTGACATACCTGCAGGACACGGTGGTGACATGGTCAATAGACATCGCCCAGTGCATGAGACCAATGCACATGTTCATCTTTCCCGCTAGCAACCCTCCACAAAGTGCAGTATTTGAAGAAGCACCATATATCCAAGAGGCGGTACGTGAAAAGAGCGACATCTTGATACTCCATGAACTGGCCGAAAAGCTCATGGAAGTCATTCGAGAAGCAAAACGAGATGTGGGCGAGGATCTTCATCATGTAATAAAACACGACATCACCGCCGAAGTAGAAAGGGTCTTCCATCAGGCAGTGCAGGCAAGAAAGGACGACATCAGAGGAACTCGGAGAGGACAGGATGGTTCGGGGAAGGAGGTTATTCTCGTTTAGTAGATTTTGCGAATTGCTAGTTGCTATCCTGTAAATCCCTCCACGGCAACATGGAGGAATGACTGAAGAACAAAATCCCCTGACGGGTGAAATGGCGTGTTGGGTGGGTAAAGCGCAAAAGTACTGAGGCACCCAAGGTACACCATAATTGGAGGTTTGAGGAAGTCCGCCGCACTGAATTGGAGGTTGTCGCTAGCACATCATAGCAGTACAGACCGCTAGGTGGCATAATGGCAGTGGGTGGTAAAGCGCAAAAGTAACGAGGCACCCAAGGTACGCCCTATTAGAGGTTTGAGGAAGTCCGCTGCACTGAATTGGAGGTTGTTGCTAGCACATCCTAGCAGTACAAACCGCTAGGTGGCATAATGGCAGATGTCTGCTCGAAGAGTTAAGTATGAGACTCAGTCTAAATCAAAAAGCCACTCACCACATAGTTATCGCCTATTTCTCAGAAGCACAACGACAGTACAGACCCCTGGGTGATGCGGCCAGTCGAGCAAGGAGAAGAGAAGATGGTGGGAGCTAAGACTCAGCAGTACATACCGCTGAGCTTTGGAGACTTGAAGCAAATGAAGACTTGGTTAGGTTAGGATGTTTTGTTTGACTTTGTTTGACTTTGTTTTACCTATCCCATCCATTCTTACCTTGACACACATCTACATCTCCCCTGGCGCGACGGTTTGTACTGTCGCGTTCGTATCAATCTCGTACACATATCCCTCTAGGTCCTTCTCTCCCACAGGTACTAGGGTGACAGTTTGTACTGTCGTGTTTGCATCTATCTTGTATACACCTCCCCTCTAGGTCCTGGCGCGACGGTTTGTACTGTCGCATTCGTGTCTACTTTGCATCCATCTCTCCAGACCCGCGTAACGCTCGGACCAATCTCATCCATCACCCATGCTCATCATGGCTCCTGACCTCTGTGTTTTCATACATGAAGCGCAAATTTTCACATCCTTTAATACATCGCTTCCTGCTGTGATTCCCCCTATCCCTTGACCTTGGAATCCAGTATTAGAGTCGGATTGCTCTCCTGAAAATATCAAAGATGCTTTAACTACACAGTGGGCTTACGAATCGCGCCCATGGTTTCCTATTATCCCTCAAAATCCCATTTTTGACGGTGCCATTTTCGGGTGCCTCAATCATTCCTACTACTCTGTGCCCATCGAGGCGACACATGATGGTCGTTATATCTTACGCAAGGATGTCCGAGAAACATGGCAGACTCTGGAGCAGAAGTTAAGTTGGTGTCAGGGACGTCTAGCAACGAACATGCATTTTCCTTGGTACGGCCAACCCCCATGAGCTCCGAGAGATTATGGGTACTTGAGGTCTCATGTTGATGTGAGCCTCGCAAAGAAAGTTGCTCTGAGGTCATGCGACACATTCATAGGTATGAAGCTCCTTCTGTTGTGGCGCATTGCGGCTTATCATCGATATTATCAGGTCTCGCAACTCTCTGCATGTACTTCATCATGGCTCGTCAATATAGACCCCATGATGGTCCCTCCTGGACCTCTTTACTGACAAAAGACCCTCAATGTCCCATACCGTCTGCATGGGTGGTCGAACTCTCCCGCACATTTGTCGGGGATCTCACGGATGCCGTACCATGCACTGGTGCGATTATCAACAGCGCCTATGGTCTGGGCTGGGAAGCAGATGTGACCATGTTTGAACGCTTCAAAGTCCCAATCTGGGTATATTGGCCTTCTAACATTGCACACCATAAGGCCTGGAACAAATATATGCCCTCAGCAAGAGATATCGCTGCAGCAAGTCAGCCTTCAAGTGGCTCTCATCGGGGCAATGATCAGTGGGGCATCGAGTCAGGATGGAGCACTCAGTTTGATGATAATACTTGGGGAGTTCAGTCCGATCAAAACCTGTCTAAGGATGACTCATGGGGAACTGATACGTGGGGCACGCAGCCTAACGATCCGGCACCAGCGTCCGTTGTTCAATCGCAGCCCGACCTCTCTCATTTTCCGCTTCCCAAAAAAAACAGCGGTCAGAAGCGTGGTGAGGATTTCCAGGCCTTCTTTGCCTGCCGGGCCATGAGGAACGAGGAGAGGGAGGTGAAGGAAACACCCTCTCAACAGCAGGCACGTCTAAGCCGTGAACATTCTGTGTTGGGTCATCACATACCCGGGAGGTCCAGCACGATTCAAGTGTTCAAATGGCGGCCCGATGATGATGATGATAAAGATGGATTTCTGTTGCGTCACCCCGTCACGAAGGCTTGCGTAGCGGAAATATGGGGAGATTACAACAAGCAAACTAGGATATTCGACCCCTTCTCCAACCAGTGGGATTTGTGTCACGCCCTCGACCCGACTAGCATCCCTGACGGTGACGATCGGGAAGATGACGACGACATCATGCCTCCGTTCCCTATAACTGCTCCTTCTGTACTTCTACCTCCAACCCCTTCCAGTTTCTTGCAGGACATATACAAATACTTCGGCGATGAGGTTTCGCTTGCATCGAGACACGCGAGCATTGAAGGACTCGTCCCTGTCTTACATTACCATTTCGGATATCGACCCATGGCAGCTATCTTGCCTGCTCTGAATGGACCCATGTCCATACGCCTGGAAGAATGGATCAAGAAAATGCAATGGGAACATATTCGGAAACTAGTCGGGGATTCGATAACTGAAACGGGTTTGATCATAGACCCACAACACCGAAGCATTACGAACTTCGTCGCACTTTTGGTACACTTGAAGCAATCTGACTTGGGCAACCTGATACCTCCTGATATGTGGGATTTAGGATCCAATCTGTCTTTACAAGTCTCACATGCTCATGTCCGGATTTCTTACGCCGAGCTATCACAAAATCGGTTCTTTATAATTGAGCCCCGCTAGTCCCCAAACCATGCTGTTTGGACATTGGCTATTCCCGACCCCATCACTGCCGTGATGTGCCTGCGACGTAACTGGGGTTCGGACGTAAAGAAGATCGCACTTGCTCTCCTTCAAAGAGGTATGACATTCAAGACTCTGCAGTGTATGACCATCGCACCCAACTTGCGGTGCCCCCTTGCTGAGCTTCATACCTACACGTTGGGACACCGACAATCCCCCTTCCGCGTGATATACGCGGATTATGTCATATACGAGCAGCTGCATCACGAGTTTATGAACCGGCCCCAAGCAAGAGCTGCTTTTCTTCATGGGGGACTAATATGGCGGTTGGCTTTGCACAGCCTCGGTTTTGATCATCTCCCATCTGTCCTTGATGGTATCTCGCCCAAAGCTGTTCCATTTGGTCTCCTATTGTGCAGCAATGGTCAGACTTACTATGATGATGGGTTGTCGGAAGAAGAGATCGATTTTATGTGCGGGACATACTACGTGCACCAGGGTAAGCTTTCTCTTCCTTATACAGATCGATTGTAGCTGTACTAATACTCGCGCCATCTAGCTCAGGGCACGAATGTAGTAGTATCTTGGTGGCCTCGGCCACATGCTTGGAATGCATCGGGCTTAAACATTGGTTTTTGGTCTGCTCGTTGCGAAGATTGGTTCCAAACCCGTCTGGACAATATCTGAGAAGGAGTTTCTCATGAGCGACTTTCATGTACCAATGACGCCAATGGTCCAATGACCTCTACTCAATGGAAGTGCTCCCTCAAATTCAACCCTGGCACAATCAAGATGATGCAAAACATTTCGGCAGCGTGTTATGATTTCATGACGAGAGTGCCTGGTAAGAGTTGTTTAAACAAACCCCCTCATTCATACTGACAAGTTTTATTTAGTTTGGACTGAGACGTAGTTCGTACTGTTGGGTGTATGTATTATAGCGTGGTTATGAAAATGTGCTACGCTAGCCAGTACTTAGTAGACATCCAAATAACAGTGTATATTTGAATTCTCGCATATCTGCAAATGTCATACACAAGGTAACGAGTTCGGGTGGTAAGCAGGTGACGAATGAGTTATGTGCGGGCAATGGTCGGGCAATGGGCGGGTGTTTCATTTCATCTGCAGACAAAACTTGAAGTTTTGTCATCACATTTTGCCACCGGTGTAAACTTCAAATTTTCAGGGTGTCCTAATTGTCAGACAAAACTTGATAAATAAGCAGGCATATAGTCATGTCCCAAATTTCATGTTTTGTCTGCTGTTTTAGGTCTGAATTAAACTTCAAATTTGAGCACACGCAGAGAATTGGATTAAATTTCTTATTGTTGTTGACATGTAGTCGGTGGGAATATGGTTGCCAATGCTTGAAATTTTGTATGTCGTCCAAAACATTACCAAAATTTGAAGTTATGTCCCCATCTTTATGTCGGTTTAAATTTCAAATATTTTCTTCACATTTGGTACGACATAAAAACATCTCCTAAATATCGATAACCCCGATGTGTGACAAAACCCTTCTCCCACTTCGTGGGAGTCGGGGACTTGTCATTACATTCCATTTGGGTACAAGCGCGGAGCTTCAATGTCAACGTCCGGCAATGGCCGAAAGCGATTTTTTATGGGCAAGATATCGGTGTCATACAGATTTTGCGTTGTGCAGTCATGTCTCGATTCTTCAGACAAGCTGGCGATTCAGACTCTGATACAGAAGAATCCGATGAGGAGCTCCTCACCAGCGGCGACGAAGATGCCGCCGCCCCAAAGGCTGCCGCCAAACCGGCCATGTCAAGATTCCTACGCACAGCAGGAAGCGATTCCAGTAGCTCAGACTCAGAGTCATCCGATGAGGACGAAAGTGAGATGTCAGATGAAGAGCCAACACAGAAAAAGAAATCAAGATTCATGCGTGGCGATTCGGATGAAGATAGTGAAGACGAGGATGTCAAGCGTGTTGTAAAAAGCACCAAGGACAAGCGCTTGGAGGAAATTGAAGCTACTGGCAAGGTCATGGACAATGGACTCAAAATCAACGACTGGGTTGCCATATCAAATGGCAAGTCTTGTCGAGTTTTTCTCAGATTCACTGAATGTCTTCCTCTTAGAATTCGACAAGCTCCTGCGTCTTGTGCAGCGACAGAGTAACGCTGCAGAACCGCTACCTCCTTTTTTTGTTAAGACTCTTCTAAGTCTAGAGGACTCCCTCAATGCTGCTCTGATGAAGGAGAAGGAGGCAAAGAAGAAGATGAACGCCACCAATGCTCGAGCACTCAACTCGATGAAACAGAAGGTCCGCAAAACGGCCAAGGAGTTTGAAAAGGAGGTCCAACAGTATCAGAATGTAAGTTTTTTTTACCATTCTATTACGATCCTCACCTCTCGCAGGATCCAGAAGCATTCGAACGTGAATTTACCGCTCACGCTCAACCTGCCGATGTTGTTGCCCCCAAACCCAAAAAGCCGAAGAAGAGCGCAGACTCTGAGAGTGACGGGGAACCGGTATTAGACGATCGGTTCACCACAGTTGGCAAAGGTGGCAAAGCTATGTCTTTCTCCGCGGACAACATTTTCAAAACTTTAAAGCTCGTTCATGAGGCTCGTGGCAAGAAGGTGTGCATGTTCTCCTTCGCTCTTCTCCCTTCCAATTAAAAACGTTATAGAACACCGACCGAGGGGAACAAATACGAATTCTGGAGAAACTCCTAGAAGTAGCGGTCACATCATATCAACGCATCCGCATCCTCCTGGCGCTCGTTTCATCCCGGTTTGACTACAATTCATCGATCACATCGTATATGCCAACTGATCTGTGGCTCTCGGCGCAACATGAAGTCGATCAGTTGATCTCAATAGTAGTTGCGGACTCATCCTACGCCGTGCAGGAGGACACTGAGGATTATGATGAACTCGTCGAGCGCCATCCTGCAACCGAGAGTGATGGGGTTGTGCGCATTCGTGGCAGCATCATCAGCTTTGTAGACCGTCTGGATGACGAATTCACGAAGAGTCTACAAAACATCGATCCTCATGGAACGGAGTACGTCGACCGTCTTAAGGACGAGAAAGTACTCTATCGTACTATCAGCCGTTCGCAAGCTTTCTATGAACAGACGAGCCAGCCGGAACCCCTTGCACGTGTAATCATGCGACGGTTGGAGCATATCTATTCCAAGGTTAGTTGAAGTCAGTCTACCCTAGTACTTTTTTTTTGACGATGTTCATAGCCTGATGCTGTCGTATCTGCTCTTGAATCTTCGTTGGCTTCGTCGGAGATAACTCCTAGCGTCACTTTGGCATCTTCTGCCACTACTTCTTCCTTGATTCACTCCCTTTGCGTTCATCTTTACAAAGCCGACAACTCCCTTCTGCGCACTCGCGCCATGCTCAGCCACATCTACCATCACGCGTTGCACAATGACTTCTACACGGCACGAGACATGTTACTTATGTCGCATCTGCAAGAGTCAATTCATTCTGCGGATGTCGCAACACAAATCTTGTATAACCGAACCGTTGTACAGCTCGGGCTTTGTGCTTTCAGATGCGGGTTGATAAAAGAGGCTCAAGCGACGCTGCAAGACATCTTCACAACACAGCGCGTGAAGGAGTTACTCGCTCAAGGTGTCCACCAACAGCGCTTTCAACAACAACTTACGCCAGAGCAAGAGAAGGCGGAACGGTCACGTCAATTACCATTCCATATGCATATAAACACTGAGCTTCTCGAGGCAGCTTTCCTCGTATCCAGTATGCTCGTCGAGGTCCCCCTTCTTGCTAGCATCGAGTCAGAGGAGCAGAAGCGCAAGGCGATCTCAAAGCCATTCCGCCGGTTACTCGACTTTGCCGATCGCCAAGTGTTCACGGGTCCTCCTGAAAGTACACGCGATCATATCATGCAGGCAAGCAAGGCGTTACAAGACGGCGAGTGGGAGAAATGCCGCGACCTTATTCAGAGTATCAAGATCTGGAGTCTTATGCCTGAAGTTGTCTCAGTCAAAGAAATGCTTGCGAAGTGCGTTTTGTCATCTCACCGACAATTCTACCTCTGACCACAATGTACAGGCGTATCCAAGAGCAAGGGCTGCGCACATACCTTTTCACATATGCCCCTTACTACAGCACGCTATCGCTGTCCCTCCTGTCGCGCACATTTTCGCTCCCGCTTCGCTCCGTTACATCGATGATTTCCAAGATGATTTGGAATGAAGAGCTATCAGCGTCTCTTGATCAATCAACTGGTGTGGTAGTATTCCACCGCATTGAGCACTCACGTCCGCAGCAGCTTGCTCAGGTTATCGCGGACAAAGTCAGCGCACTTCTCGAGCAGAACGAAAAGGGGCTTGATATCAAACTTGGTGGTAGCGGAGGATGGGGTGACAGGACCGGCGACAAGGGTGAGAAGCGTGGTGAACAAACTCAAGAACGTAGAGGAAGGGGAGACAGGACACGAGGAAGCCTGCGCGGTGGTCCCCGTGGACGTGGCTCGCGGTTTGCTCAGGGTCTTGGTAATCAGATGACAAGAGTACGATGATTTTTACATGTCAATGCTGTCTTTTTGAATGTATGCTGAAATGACACTTGCGAAAGCAGCGCGATGTTGAACCCAGTGTGATCACAGACAAACTTGGGATCACCTTTAATTCGGGCAGAAAATGAGAACAACAATTTCAATTTTGCATGCATTTTCCTTAGTTGATCAGCTTGAGTTATATTTAATGCAAGCGTTCCGATTGCCTTCGGATGTTTTCTATCATCAATTACAGTAACAGATGCTTGTATACTACGTTCGCCGTCGTCTTCTCATCCTCAGTCTCTGTTGGAAACAGCGCCAGTATGTCTCGGCGACATCGCGCCCTAAAGTGTGATGTATAGTTGTCCGTGCGCGAAAGAATCCGTGCGAAGGTCAAGCACGCTCCGTGCTTATATATATTAGAACTAGTCCATACCCATTCTGCCTTCGGCACAGGAAGCAAAAAGGAGTGCTTCGCACTCTTTTTTAGCTTCCTGGCCTCAGCTGCATCCCAATTATTCTGAAGGCTCCTGATGAGCATTGTTCCTTCTCACAGGTAGTGTTCTGCACGGGTAACCCGTGGGTATTTTTTACTATACCCGTACCCTTACCCATGAAAACCTGTACCCGTACCAGGGGTAGGGGTTTTTTCACGGGTCAGATATTCAGACCCTTGGGTGTACCCATACCCGTACCTGCAGTGGGTAACCCGCGGGTACACCAATAACACTAAGCACAAGTCTGTAATTATTCGAGCCGCTACTAGCATGAAACAAATTGAAAAAATTAATCTATGATGTCCCAGCCTTCTTCAAGCTCCTCGTCGTCTCCTGCAACCTCTGGTAGAATTGTGACAGCAGTAATGACCTTGTTCTTCACATAGCCCATCAGACTCCAGTTTCTGAGACAGAGTAGAGCACGTGTTGACTGTGCAGATAACTGGTTACGAACATGAGACAAAATGAGGTGGCCCTGACTGAAAACATGCTCAACATCAGTTGACATCGCTGATGTCATTAGTAAGACAACACCATTGCCATAGTATAAGTTAGTAGCTCACCAGGAATTGACAAGTAGTCGAGCGCCATGCAGGATAGACAAGGGTATACTGATTTTCACTCATGCCACCAGAGAAGGACGTCCCTCGCTTGCTCTGGATCGGTGCTGAGGTAGCGTGAAACTTCGTTGAGCATTTCTGCAGCACACGGAGCAGCAAGGGAGGGCAGATCATCAAATATATTAAGTACCTAGTATAGAAGATCAGTTACACACCAGCAGTATCAAAAGCGCTTAAACAAAACATACCTTGGTCTGCTCGTTTACAGGTGCGGGTATATCCTCATGTGCACCAGATGCACGTAGTGTGGAATAGGACTGATTGAAGACATCCCTCACAATCTCCTCTGCAGTATCAATCCAGGCGCGCTCCCAGCCAGCACACTCGAAATATTTAAGTTTGTGTCAGGGATGTAACACTGTCAATAGATAGCATTATTATATTAGTAGGTATAACCATTCTGAAAGAAAAAGACTTCATACCCATAGCAATACGATATACTTCAGATTGATCTGTAGCGTTGTAATAGTGGTTGAGTGTTTTCTTGGCGATCCCTAGGGCAGCACAAATTGATAGTTCATAATCACAATTAGGGGAGTGGTTGGTGAGCATTTCATCGATGTGATCCATTGCGGGGATCACAGTTGCAAGACTAGGAGTGGAACGTGAGAAAAATAATGTTGCGTCTTTGAATATCTAAGTCGTAATGAGAACGTGCAACATCAATCCTAAAAATAGAAATGCACGCACCTTCAATGTGCTGTGGAGCTGTCCAGCAATGATCCACTCATCCTTATCCAACTCAAACTTGCGCAGGTTTGCACTTTTGTCCGCTGTAACACTGTCAATGGCTAACTGATACTCTATTGTGAACACCAGCATATCAAAGGTTGAGTTCCACCGCGTTGCCACGTTGTAGAAACAACAATACAGAGAGGAACAAATGATGCTCCAGACTGTATCTGTAAAAGTTGTAAGGTCGTGTATTGCCTAGTCTGCGTTACCTGAGGAGACAAGTGTGTTCGACCCTTAAGGGGAAGCAAGTGCAACAAAGATCTAGAGGTACACGCTGAAGTGAGGCGCGAGAAAGCGCAGGTGCGCGCAAGGCACAGGAACACGTGCGCATGCGGAAACAATAGAGAGGTTAGACTTAAGTGATAATATGATGCAAGATAAGAGAAAAGAGATGTGAAGTATAGACAAAATGGATTTCTACTACGTTCTTCTAGGTAGATAGTGGGTGGAAAGTAAAGTGAGGTAAGGTAAGTGGTAAAAATTGTGTGTGGAGTAGTATGTACTGCTGGCGCTTATATAGTGTGCCTAAGCGCTGTAATGCGGAGCCGAAGCGCTACCGAGTAGGTATGTAGAGATATATATATAAGTAAGGGTCCATGATAAAAATAAGGTGGAATAATATACAAATGAGAGAAACAGAAATATACGCACTAGAGAACTTGGAGGACAGTGGATGGATGCATCTGGATGGCTGGTGCTATAGGGTGCTCAAGCGTGGGAACGCGCGCGCGCGTATACATCGTGAAGCACGGGAATGGCGCGCACATGGCGTGCATTGCGCGGGAAAGCTGCGCCTCATATAGGAATAGCTGTGGACAGTACACAGAGTGGTGCTGCGAGTTTGTGCTGTATACTCCCTAGTGGAAACTGCCATATCACGCCATGAGAGGCATGATTCTCTACAACGTCATGCGGCATTTTCCATTCTGGTAGGCCAAGCTTCTGGAGTGTTCGAAACCACAAGGGCAGGAGAAGTGTTGTTGAGTGGAGGAGTGCGAATGCGATCTTGCGTAGCTGTGGAATCATTCAGGTGAGTATGACAATGCCTATAAGACTTTGGTTCAGTGACTGACTTTAACCAACACCAGCTTGACAGGCCTTATGTTTTCCTCAAGTTCGTTACAGTCAGCCATGGGGAGTCTAGCTACCTCATCAATCCAGCCATCTGCGGTATCACCATTATCATCAACATCATCTTCCTTCCCCTCCCATTCACCTCTGGTCTGCTCATCCTCAATATCAAGACCCTCAGCAAGATCCCTCAACTCCCTCTCTGTGTCGTCCAGTGCTGCATCTGCCATGCCTTTGGGGACATCAAATTGACATATCGAACTTTTTGCTATGAGGGCGATCACATGGTTGAAGCACCGTGCACGGTTGGGATCTCCAGGGAACGAGGGAATCAAATCACTGTGCGCCTCAATCATGGTGTCATTCGAAGACGCATTATCACAGGTTATACACAGTATCTGGCTGCAGGTAAGTATCCTGTCCATGGCTATTTGATGTAAACTGACCTTATCAGACACACCAAACTCTTCAAGGATCTTCGCGAATGCCGCGGCAAGGTTAGCACCTGAGTGTGACATTGCTACTTCAACAACATCAAGGATCAAGCACACTGGCTCTCCATCCTGTTCAAAGTGGACAGTCACAGCGACAAACACCCTGTGGTTTGGAGAGGTCCATGCATCTGTAGCAAAGCTGAGGGCGCCCTCATACTCCTGCAACATATTTGTGATTCGCTTTCGCGTATTTGCAAACACCTTCTTGACATCGCAAGATACTGTTGTGGGTGAAGGTATGTAATATTCTGGTCTTCCCATTTTCATTAAGCTCTGGAAGCCACGATCACTGACAATTTGAAAGGGCCTCTTACTCTCGGCCACCCACCGCACTATCTCTGCCCGTGATTCCATTTTCGTATGTTGACGGTGCGAGAACGTCACTTTCCCTTTCCCTTTATGCTCAAAGGCAACTGTTATGGTTTGTGGATCCAGGATCCCTTTGACCGTTGTCCCACGCACCTCTGTTGCATTCTTGGCTTTGTCAGCCGATTCGACAGTTTCAGCACCCCAGCATTTCTTTGCGTGTTTACACATATTTCCCATGGACTTTGCATCCCCAGTATCAAGATATCTCCTCACCCCCCATGTTTTGTGCTTACAATTTGTTGCTGCACATTGGAACAAGTGACATCGGCGGCCGTCAATGTACTTGACGGTAGGGGCGGACCTGAAGAATGCATAAACGGGTGCCGTCCAGTCTTTCGAAAGTCGTCCTGTCAACCTTCAGCATCATATAATACAGCACCGAGGACTAGATTCATTTATTTCACCCTCTTCATCCTCAGCCGCCGACTCTTCTTCACTGTCCTCCACTACAGCCTCCATTGTTACATCTCCATCAGCATCGAGACTGCTCCCAACATGACTCGGTTCATCATCATCATCGTCGTCGGAGTCTTGAACTGCTGCCCTTCGTGAAAATCCTCCAGTGGAGGATGGTGTCAAAGCTCTAGATGCAGAGGTAGAGATTTTGCGAGTTGCTACAGATTTCTTGTGGGATTGCAAGACAGTTTGTGTAGATGTTTTCATATGCTTGACTTTACCAGGAGCTTTATTCTTAGCTTTTGTAGTACCTGCCATGGTAAAGGTTGAATAAAGACATCATTTGAATTTGCCTTATTATAAATTGAGTTTCAAATTCTGAGGGTACACGGGTACACAGGTACATAGCTACGGGTATGGGTTTCCCATGGGTTCAAATTCCTGTACCCCTACCCGTACCCTCCAAAAAACCCTCCAAAAACCCATGGGTTACCCATACCCCTGCATATCACTACTCACAGGAAGTCAAGGAGGGATACACCCTCCTTTGGCAAGTTCCTGGCCTCAGGCTGCATTGTGGTGAATTGTGCAATTCTGAAATAAGATCACATCTTGATAGTGGATTTTGAAAAAGAGGTACATTGATGAGCAGCATTAAACTAAAAGTACATTCTTTGAGCAGGATTTTGACAAAAGTAGAATTACAAAATATGTAACAGTATTATTGAATGTATTTATTTTCCCATTTTCCCCATTTCCCCATCTCCCATCATCAGTAAACTGGTGAGTTCTTGCTGGGGATTATGCTGATTATGGTGCTTTTACATAGTCATATATTGCTTTATATCACTTTATATTCCAATGTGACGAAAACCTTTCCTATATATTATGATATATTACAATATATGACAATATCTTCTTCTCACAGGTTCTCTGATGATTGTCTCCCATGTCCTCCGGTCTCCGGTCTCCAGTCTCTGGTCTCCTATCTCCTGTCTCCTGTCTCCTGTCTCCTGTCTCCTGTCTCCTGTCTCCTGTCTCCTGTCTCCTGTCTCCTGTCTCCTGTCTCCTGTCTCCTGTCTCCTGTCTCCTGTCTCCTGTCTCCTGTCTCCTGTCTCCTGTCTCCTGTCTCCTGTCTCCTGTCTCCCGTCTCCCGTCTCCTGTCTCCCATCTCCCATCTCCCGTCTCCCGTCTCCCATCTCCCATCTCCCATCTCCCATCTCCCATCTCCCATCTCCCATCTCCCATCTCCCATCTCCCATCTCCCATCTCCCATCTCCCATCTCCCATCTCCCATCTCCCATCTCCCATCTCCCATCTCCCATCTCCCATCTCCCGTTGTAGGACTTAGAGTCCTTGTGACCTTGTAAAGGCTATTTTTGCAGTGTCCCATAGGTCCTTGCATTGCATGCACTAATGCTAACACAGTGCATGTCTTTTCTGCTATCAGCTGATGGTCGCGGCTCGCACGTGTGTATCGGATAGCACTGGCTTTTCTTTGGCTCCATCATGCGTCCTCCTCCCGTCCTATCCATGTCCTCCACTTGTCTATCAGTGCATATTTTACTTGATTTGGATTAGACTGACCATATTTCTGACGCTATATCATTTATATCTCTATTACTTTCGTCATGGACCCTTATTACCTATTACCACTACCTACTCGGCTCCAAATAGCGCTTTGGCGCGCTCTCATATATACTTGTACTTATGAATTTTGATGTACCTTCTTACCTCCCACATAGAATCTATCCTCCACTTGCACACATTAACGCCCAAACTTGAAATCTAAACCTTGCATCAACCACCGCTTGTGTCTATCTAATGGCCGCATTATTCTATCAATTCCTTGTTTCAACAGCCTTTGTGCTACTTATGAATATGCTGTCGCACTGCTTCGCCTTAACGCTTCGCGGCGCCCGCATGTCTATTCTGCCTGGCCGCATGTTACCATGTGTCAACATATCTTTGGCCGCTCAACCTTGCTTTGCACTATGTCAATGGTAGCTTGCTCGTGCTCGCATCACATTGCGCTAGTCCTCATGTTCCATCCATTCTCAACCACCCTTATTAGTTCCAGCGACTTCCCTCCATTTTTATATAGAGGAATCATTCTCAGTAGCAATCCCCTTGGGCTGAATCATATACTCGCATCCAGAGGTCTATGAGTTTTACCCTACTTCACCCTTTCTTTCCCTTTCATCCCTTCTCATCTAGCTATCATTCCTCGCACACACTGTTTCCCATCTCCTGTCTCACTACATTTTGTCATTCACCATTTCATTCTGACTATTTACTTTGTGTATATAAAGTTGCTACAATACTTGCAGGAAAACACTCAAATATCATGAATAAATGTGGGGCTGTTTTAATGGGCAAAGGATATTGAATCAGCACTTGAAAGCCACACCAGATTTCCAAAAACAGGTTTAAGCAAAATATGCAAAAGCCATGTGAGTGCCTGAGCATTTCCAAAACCATTGTACTTGACTTCTTAGATAAGCACTCTGATCACCTTCAGACAGTTGCTCATTGATTTGAAATAACAGTTGTCTGTATACTACATTAGCCATTGTCTCTCCCCTTCTCAAAAAAGTGCTTAAATGTCTCTATGACCTTGCACTCATGACAATGCAGTGTACAGCTGTCTGTGCATGAATGAATCAGTCCACAACTTGAGGACTGCTTTCTGTGATGTTAGGCCTTGGTTTCATTGAACATTGTTGCATAAACTGGTGGATGTAGTGTTCCTAAAAGCCTTCATCCTTATAAGGCAAATGACATACATGTTGTTATTAACCTGGGTTATAACTGGTGCATCCTGATTTGAATTAACCACAAGATAACTGAGGTTAATGGTGTAGGAACTGATTCCTGCCTAGGCTTGTAGAGACTGTTTTACTTAGTGTCATGTTTGCACCTTAGCTTACATAAGAAAGTAACCTTTTCACCAGTATCCACTATGAGTCTGAGTCTTCAGCAGTTTTCATGACATTTCCTCTCCCCTGAGCCTTGAGCTTGGTTCAGAAATCCTTTAGAGCCTGTACAGTGATGGATTATGTTGTATGATTATTCATGCAGATTATTCCCACACTGTGATCTCAAGTGTGACCTTTGTGTGACATACACTGTGACTCTGTGCTGTGCTGAACCTCACCATCAGATATGGCCTGCTCGCTGAAATCAGCAGCAGGAAAGCCTAAGAAAACAAAATCCAGAAAAACTCGTTCAGCAGCAGAAGAAAATGTACCAGCTGAAACTTCAATATCCTCTTTGACTCAGGTCCATTGGACTGAAGATCACACCTCAAGCCTAATCAAGTTTCTGGCTGCACATAGATTGGAGGCTGGCGATGGAATGAACTTCAAGATTGGAGTCTTTCAAGCTGCAGCTGCCCATTTCCTCAAGCCCCCTGAAGGTGTTTCAAAAGAAGGATGGGTGCCACCTGTTGCAAGAGATTCTCGTGCTTGCAAGAACAAGTGGGCTGCAGTATGTGCATATATTTTGTTCTTGATGTAACTCACATTTTCAGATACAAAAAAATACAAGATTGTTCTTGATATCAAGGCTCAGTCTGGCTTTGCTTGTGACAATGAGCTTGGTGCTGGTATTGACAGTACAGTACACTATCTCATAGTGTATAGCAATGGGAACCTGCCCTTTCACTATACAATATGAGATATACACCACCAAATAATTCCCACAGCAGTGTGAATGCGCTGTAGAAACAACAATACTGCGAGGAACAAATGATGCTCCAAACTGTATCTATAAATGTTGAAAGGTCACGCGTTGCCTAGTCTGCTTTACTTGAGAAGACAAGTGTGTTCGACCCTATAGGGGAAGCAAGTGCAGCGAAGATCTAGAGGTATGTGCTGAAGCAAAGCACGGGAAAGTGCACGCGCATATGCAGAAACGATAGAGAGACTAGACTTAAGTGATAATATGATGCAAGGTAAGAGATGTGAGAGTGTGAGATGTAAAAGAATAGGTTTCAACTATGCTCTGCTAGGTAGTAAGTGGGTAGTACTAGTAAGTGACTGGTAGGAAAAGTAAGTAAGTAATAGTATGTACTGCTGGTGCTTATATAGGCGCCTAAGCGCTGTCATGCGGAGCTGAAGCACTACCGAGTAAGGTATGTAAAGATATATATGAGTGAGAGTCCATGATAAAAATAAAGTGGAACAATGTGCAAATAAGGGAAACAGAAATATACGCACTAGGGAGCTTGGTGGACAGTGGATGGATGCTTCTGGATAGCTGGTGCTATAGGGCGCTCAAGCGCGGGAATGCGCGCGCGCATATACATCATGAAGCACGGGAAGTGTGCGCGCATGGTGCGTGTTGCGCGGGAAAGCTGCGCCTCATATAGGAATAGCTGCAGATAGCACACAGAGTGGTGCTGCAAGTTCGTGCTATGTACTCCCCAGTGAAAAGTGCCATATCACACCATGAGAGGCGTGATTCTCTACAGTGCACTGCTTGCAGAAATCAATACATTCAACAAGTACATCAAAATGGTATGTTACTTGGTATTCCAGAATTTGTCCAATGTAACCTGCTTCGCATTCTGCAACTCCTCGCGCCGTAGTGTTGCTCAAAATGCCCGAAGTTTGTGAACAAGGTCAAGTAATGAATCAGCACCAACTCGCGCAATACATGCAGCCTCAAGCTTTTCGCACAGTGGAATCAGTTCAGTAGCACAGACCTTGGGTTGATCATCCTCGTCTTCGCCATCTGATTCCACTTCATTCAGCTCCCCACTCCTAATTGCTTGCTGGCGCCAAATTTCTGCAATGATTGCATCATCATCTTCATAAGCAGTTACTTGTCCAATGTTCTTCTCTTCTTGAGGGTCGAGAATCTTGTCAACAGTCAGTGGTGTGCCAACGATCCGTCTCTGTGTTGTAAGCTCCTCTATGGACTTCATCAATTCATGTTCGAGAGTTTGTAAACTGAGGTGCCTTGGTGAGAGGCTGAATTTTGACAACCAGCCCAGTTCTTTGACATGCCACTGATGCAAGTTTCTCGACAACCTCAGCCACTTTGACATTGTCACCGCTTGTATGGGGCAGGTTTTGGATGTGGCTGGCGTTTCTTAGGGCTGCGCACCATTGGGACTAGAATAACTATAAAATTGATCATCTTAGAGCATTGTTATGCATCAACTTTTGGCAACTCAGCAGTAGTCCTACTGGGTACAGACCATATCTCATAGTGTATATTGGACCTTCGAAGGCTATACATTATACATTATACAATTTTCTGGGCGTCTACCTGCATACCATGATGGGAACTGCCAAAAGTCAATACAAGATGAGATTTATACATCACTAACATATACATTATGAAACAATGTACTGTACATCAGAGGCAGTATGGGCTGCATATATCAAGGTACATTTTTTTTGTCTTGTGGTATACTATGTATCTCATTTTTGATGCAAGAGGCGCCCTGATGCTGGACCATTTCGCAATAAGGGATGGCCACACTTCGATGAAGTTGATGCTCTTTTGTCCACCATTGCTTTGAAAGGAACTCATGCATTTCATGCTGCACTCAAGGAGCCTGCAAGCCATCACCTGATCTTGATTTTCTGAATGAAGAGGGTCTTCTGCAGCCTGGGCATGATCTAGATGAGGGTGAGGATGATAAGACCTTATCTCTTGGGAAAAGACTCCACCTTGTCAAAGCCACCCTCCAGCTCTCCTTCTCAAGCAAAAATCTGACAACATCTCTACTTCTACTAGTTCAACTTTGGCTCCAGCATCCAAGAGGCATCGTTCGAGTGGTGCTGCAGCACAGTTTGCTATTGCTGACCAATTTTCGGATTTCACTGACACATTTTGCTCAAGTTCTCAACCCCAGCCATCCACTCTTGCTCCATCACCAATTCGAAGGCAGTGTGTCATGCAGCGTGCACAGAATGTTGAGACTCATCTCACTGCTGATGACATGGCCGCTCTTGTTGAGGCCTTCCAGACTGATTTCAGTGCTGCAGATGCATATATGGTAATGCAGGATGACAATGCTTGTCACTTGTTCATCAATTGAAAAATCACACAGATCAATAGTCGATAATTTTTGTTACTTCTATGACAATATATTAGGTGAACCTATACTGCCTTCTACTTGCTCATTGATGTTTGCACAGGAATAACTGGTAGTCTCACCACATTATGTTTCCTATCTCTTCTCTTTGTTCCTTTGCTGCTTCTCGTTCTTTGAAATTTGCTGGTCCTTCTGCTAGATCTCCTCTACCATCCTCCAACTCTTAGTCATCAATACTACCATCATTGAATTCAAATATTTTGTCTGGGTCGTGAATTCAGATAAAGTTGTGTATAGCACAAAGTGCAGGAGGGTTACGAGCTTGGAATATCATACTATATTCTGGTAGGTTTATGAGTATTGGAAATCGTCTCTTGAGTATACCAAAAATTTGTCCAACAACATTTCATGCTTGAGCATGTCATAGATTGTACAATTCATGTGAATTTTTTGGTCTAGCAGAAGATGTTAGTTTGTGAACAGATTCAAGGACTTGAAAATACAAACCTGACAGCAGCTTGACCCCACTCTGCAAGATGGTAGCGAACATTTTAGTGAGGTACAAGCAATGCTTCACATATACCAAACCATGCATCAGCAAGATAATATTTCCCTTTTGGAACAAACAGATTTATTAACCGAGCTTCATTGAATAGCATGGCATCTGATACTGAGCCATCCCAACCACTGAGGATATACTGGAATTGAAGGTTGAAAGAACATCATGCCAAGCAGTTCTGACTGACTCCCCCTTTTCGGTTACATGCAAGATGCCTCTCATCTGCAGAGGGGCAACAGTCGATGTGAGTGCCATCAATTGCCTCAAGAGCTCCTGCAAAGTACGGAAAGAATTTGGGGTTATCACAAATTTCATGTGGAATAGGAGAATCTTCTTTTGGAAAAAAGACATGTCTCTTGTAGCAAGGTGAAGATGAGAGAGCAAGAAGAGTTCATTTGAAGTATGTGGTGTTTCTCAGCCAAGCAGACAAGCATTGAGAAGACAAAAAAGTACTTTGTGATTGTGGTGTGTGAGTGTTGAAATCTCTCAGCAACATGATGACTCTTGAGGCCTGTTACACAGGTATACAAGAAAATTGCTATTTGTTCTTCAAGTGTGACAAATTTTGAGTCATCCAAACCAGACTCCTGTAGTTCTTGAACAAATACAACAAACACATGTTTGTGCATCCCAAGTTCATTTTTAATCCTTTTTGGGTGTCTATTGAGAAGTTCCTGGAGCCATGCAAAGCCAGACAATATAGAAGTATGATATGGCTCTTTGTCAAGGTATGGAGTAATATAGGCCATAGAAATTGCCATAATTAGCTGTGCAATCATTGCTGCAATAGTCCATAAGAGACTGAGCCTTTGTGGCAGGTCCTTTGGATGAGATATGGTCGCAGTTTTGCCCCTATGTTAGGGTTTGGGTAAGTGACATTTAGGTGACATCAGAGAGTACCAAAAAGTCATGCCAAGTTTGTGGAAATAATCTGTATGATAATTAGCTGCTGTACAGGCCCTAAGGCACATAAGGAAGTTTAAGGACACAAAAGGCATCATTGTGCTATTTAATGTACTTTGAATGAATATTTCTAAGGAAGATTAAGGAAGATGAAATTTTCAGAAGAGCCATATTTGTAAGTAGCACTAAGTAAACATGATATTGGCATTGTCCATTGTAAGTTCTACATAATGTAAGAATGTGGTGATTTTGATTTTATAATGGGTGAAAGCATGGGGAATTATAGTAGTAGGAAAAAAAGTATTGCACATATAAAATAAATTGAAAACAACATGATGATTGTTGACATTGCTGGTAACTTATGAATTCCAAAGTGTGCTGCAGGAATATGACATCTTCATTAGAGCCTCCAGAGTTAGAGAATATAGGCTCTCACTCAGTTCCATCTATAAAGACTATGTTCTTGTGAGACTTGGTGCTCATGGTACCCTCAGATGCACTGGCATCTAAATATTCAACCTTTACACATTTGGCACTGAGATATTCAATTGGAGGAATGTTTTGGCTGAGGTTGCAAGACTTGCACTCAAGTTTGTTGGCAAAGAGCTGGTGGGAGGGGGGAGGGGGGGGGGGCATGCCTCAGATACTTCAAAGTCTGGATGATTGATTGGTAGTTTAGACATTTTGAGAACTTCAAAGGGAAGATAATATTAGGGTTATGGAAGGTCACTTTTTGCCTCAGCTAACGAAGTGATCAACAGACAGATATTACTGAGAACTAGGCAGATGCATCAGACACTGGTTATTGTTGGCTTCTCCTCAAACACTGGTGCTGGAGTTGGTGTCCTTTCACACCTAGGTGCTTCTCCAACAGGTAATTTATCATTGCTGCTCTCCCAGATGCTTGCATTGGCTTCATCCTAAACATTAAGTTGATAGTGGGGAGAGGCAACTCTCTGCCAATTTCAAACTCAGCGTGTGCCCTCGCTAAAGGGGTGTGTGGCTGAAATGGTGGTTAATGAAACCATCGACCGCTGGACATTAAGCACAACATTATGAAGACTACATTGTATGGAGACTTTACTGCAAAATATAAAGCTGATTGTATTCTCCATGCAAAAAAGGGAAAATGCGCGAATCGTAAGGCTACAGTGTTTGGCAAAAGCTCATGCAACCAACTTTTTCAAAAATTTTCATGGAGATTACAACTAAATCACAAAAAAAAGGCCTCTGATGGCTTTTCTCAATCCCCCAGCATATTGTGTTCAGTCACAATAGGGATGTCACAGGTAGTAGACTCATATTGTATTACATAAGCCTCATAAACGTGTCGCGCCGTGTCACAAATCCACAGAGACCACTGTAGAACTCTCAATGCCCTCCCTATACCACCCAGGGGACCATTGGAAAACCACCAAGAGACGTTCTACTGCTTAGATTGATCAGTTAGCTCAGCTTCATGCAAAAAAATGTGCCAGAAATGAAAACACCCCTCCGAGTCCTCATAGCCCTACCCCCACCATGTCCCAACCTCCACCAGCACATGCTTCCTTGCAAAACATCGACTCGCAACTGGAGGCCCTAATGCAGCGAATGCAGGCACTCACATCACACGCCGTAAACACGTCTCGGCTCATTGGCATTGTGAGTTTGACTTACATGTACCACGAAACAAAGACATGCCAAAGCAGAAGGAGGACAAATTGAAGGTCCTGAGGGAAGCTATCGCACGTTACACGAGTGGGGAGGTTACACACCTGAGAAACCACACAGGAGGTTCCTTTGGAGACAGGCGAGAGTGAAGATGAGGACGAGCCTTGAATTTTTTGAGTATAATAAGCTTACTAATTACTTTGACTTACTATAATATTCTACAGCTGTTTTGGTGTTGTACAGGCATCATAGTTCAATATAAGTTATAACGTTTGAATGGTCGTGTCGTTTGACCGCATTTCTTGCTTACATAATGCCACACTTTATTTGGCTGAGTTACCGCCCCCCATTGATAGCAGCAGTAAGTCAAACATTTGCTTATGTTTGTTTATTCCCACACTCACATGACTTTAATTCAAAACACTTAAAGTTCTATGCTCAATATTCAACTTTCAACATTAAGCAGCTTCCTGCCTGCACTTGTCTTTGCTGTATGTACCCAGTGTAGGTATGTTTTCTTTTTCTTTTTTAAACTCTAACCATCTATTGTACTTTACAGGGAAGTGCTGACCTTGTACCTGGTCGGTCATATAGATTGGTCTACATTGTTAAATAACCTAGTGTGCAATGATTTTTTATTCCAATTCTGTTCTTTCTATTTAAACAAAACTATTCTAGGATAATTTCCATCTTCTTTGCACTTTTGTGACAGCCTGTGAGTATTTATCTTCCTTTGAGCTTGAGTTATGCTGATCCAAGGTGTTGTCTACTGTTCTCAGATCATGAGTGTGTTGATCCTCATTCAAGCAAGACCCATGCTGATCCAAGTTATTGCCTACTGTTCATAGGAAGTGAGTATAAATCTTCCTCTGAACTTGAGCCATAATGATCCAGATTATCACCCACTATTTGCAGGACATAAGTGTGATGATTCTCCTTCACAGACAATACCTATTATGAAGCATGTATATCACAGTGGCAGTTTTCCAAGCCAGGTGCCAGCACTCCACCTCCAATCAACCCACACTCTCATATTCAAATCTGTATGTTTCCTTTGTTTCTGTGCAGCTACATCACTGACCCATTGCTTGCAGGATTTGTGCCCCCTCAATCTCTACCACCCATGCTCTACTGCCTCATTCCACACCACTTAATTTTCTTAGACTTGTGCCTTAAGCTACTTATTACTTTGTTTTACACCCACTAATAGTAACTTTTGGCTGCTTTTTGTTTGCCTGAACTGCCTTAAACTACCTTAAGTTCCTTGTTCTAAGGATAAAATAAGGGACTTGACGTTTTCCTAATGCAGCTGTAACACAAGAGCTAAAAATGAAGATGATAGAGAATGATTGTTCTTGGGTAGATTCTCCATGTCATTGTCTAATTCAGACTCATTGGTATCAGTATTCATAATGAGTTCTTGATCTTCCATACAGCTACCTGTAAGATTGCGGTTAATAACTGTTTCAAACTTGCTAAATCAACATTTGAGGTGGAATTAGGCTGTGCCATCAATGGTGTACTAATAATGAAGCTCCATCTTGAGAAATGACATCTTGTGGTTCTTTTGCACATCCAACTGGGTTTATTGTTTTGATTTTGTATTATCCAATGAAGAAAAGAAGCACTTGACTGATGCAGAGTTTGGGGCAAAGCTCAAGACAGATTGTACAAGCTGTATGAGTGGATTTTCAAAGTCAAGCAAGCCCCAGATATGGAGAGGGTCACAGGAACCATTCTAACTAGTGATGTCTCAGCTCCAAGCTGCATTTTTCAGAAAATGAGCATAACATGCTGAATAAAATTCCTAAATTCATGAAAATATTTATGGACATAGATTGGGCCAAAAGTCGGGAGGCATCTAAGGGGAATTTGTACTGTGATGCATCATTGTCTTGCTATGAAGCAGCTCAGCAAATGGCTCAAAATTCAAGCTATTTGCTGAGCTGCTTTATAGCAAGACAATGATGCATCACAGTACAAATTCCCTTAGATGCCTCCCGACTTTTGGCTCAATCTATGTCCATAAATATTTTCATGAATTTAGGAATTTTATTCAGTATGTTATGCTCATTTTCTGAAAAATGCAGCTTGGAGCTGAGACATCACTAATTCTAACACAACAGACTGAGTCACATAGAAATTTTTCAGTGTTTAAAACTCACCTCATCTTTCAGTAAGTTTTTCAGTTCCTGTATTGGCCATGCAGCTGGTGTGAAGATCCCAGTATACTGATGATATTCATAGATTTGGCCAATGAGACTTGCTGGTATTTCTGTGTTGTCATACTTGAAAACACAAGAATATAGCTGTCAGGCAATTTCCATAAGGACACCAGGTGGAAGGACACAACTATTGATGAGGTTGAGATTGATTGATGGATTTAAGAATAGTGCTATAATGAAGAGATCTTGGTCTGCATGTTACCATCTTTTTTCAATGCTGTCAATGATAGATGTCACAGGATGTGACTTGTCTTTGTCTTCTGTGAGTGAAAGGCTGTGGTCTGTGATATGGAGATTTACATAGGTGTAGTAGAGTTTGCCAAGTAGCAGCAAGACTTGATCACAGCATGTGTTTAAGTGTCATGAGACATTAACAGCAATGGCAAGTGGTCTGATATGAGTCTTGATATGAAGAAGCTTTTTTCAGAATATGTCGTTTGGAATGTGGTCAAGGATATTATAAGCCTTATTCTTTACTTGGTGATCCTGCCCTACAGCTACCAATAGCTTATCCTTGTGTTTCATTGATGTCACTTTCAGTGCCTTTGAAATTTCAAGAAGTTGAGATAGTGAACAGAAATGTGAGGTTCAGTGGGTGACAACAGGCAGAATAAGTGCGAGGATCTTGTGAAACATTGACATTTGCCCTCAATTCAGCAGCCCCAGTGTGAATGAGTGATTATTGAACCACTTGATGATTTCATTCGCATGATCAATGACTACAGTAATATCACTGCTGGCCTTGTAAAAATCACCCAAAATGAGATTTATTTTGTTTGAACATTAGATGTAGTTCATCTAATGATACAAATGATATGTACCTGATGACTCCTGCAGTCCATAACAAGCATCCATGGGTATTTGTGTAAGAAGAGAAGACAATCTTGCTTCTCATCTCCACCAGCATCTCCACAAACACCAATTATGGTCAGAAACAGAACATCCTTGACATAGTTGTACTTCTTCTCCATTAGTTCAAATGTGAGTTGGCTTGTCTTTTGTTTTGCTGATGTATCATGCACATGTAGAACATATCTCTGTGAGCTGACTGTGAGTAGTAATTAGCTAAGATTGAATTTTACTTATCTAACATTTAACAGTATGGGTAAAAGCAATCTGATGTATTTTTGCTAGCTCTCTCCAGTGTCGGAAATTTCTAATTTTGGTTGGCATGCTTTAAAATGGATTGGAAGGCCTCAATTTGCCGGTAGCATTACAACTCGCTTGGAAGACAACCTGAAATTTTTGGAAGCCGCTTGAAAGCGATATATGGGTTCTTGCAAGTGGGTCCCAGGACCATTCCAATGCAAGGGCAAAATTTCGAGCAATACTTATATACCCTAATTGGGACATTATTGCAAGCGACAACGGTCCTTCCAAGGCCTTAAAATCATGCTAAGTCTTTCAAGCAAATTTGGATCATTTTGATTATTTAATATAATAACACTACTAATGATAATATACGAAAATGTCCTCAATTGCATTCTAATCATTCTTATTTCCCCTCAATTCTTATCGAATTGCAGTCTCCTTCACAATCATAATTTTCTGGAAATGATAATCCCGGTTGGGAGGGTTCAGTTGGAGATGATAGAAGATCAGTCTTACTAATCTTGGATGAACAAATACAGACAATGGGGAGGTAGACGATGGGATGCAAGAGCTCCAGGAAATGGGAGTGGAGGTAGATGACAGGGTGTGGAGAGCTCCAGGAGACAGGAGTGGAGGTAGACGACGGGGTGCAAGAGCTCTAGGAAATGGGAGTGGAGGTAGATGATGGGGTGCAGAGAACTCCAGGAAATGGGAGTGGAGGTAGACAACAGGTTGCAGAGAGCCTCATCAGGAGACGGGAGTGGAGGTAGATGATGGTACAGCATCAATATTTGAGGAGACATCGGGAGTGGTCCATTGGGAGGCAGACAAGATGGGGTGAGACACTTGCAACTAATTGAGAATGCCTGGACCAAAATTGGTCCAGGCTTTCAGTAATAATTTCTTTAAATCTGTCAATGGATCATGTCAGAGTCTGTCAATAGGATGAATCAAAATGAACACAAACATTGATTCAGACGTTCTCGACAACATAATAATATCAAACTGTGATGCAGTGGTTAAACAAGTTCAAGTCTAAGTATTGTCGGAATAATTCACAATGGCTGATTATTACATAACATGTTTGTCATTGTTGTCAATGTCTGACATCAGAATAGACTGTTAGTACATACTCACTGTCCAGAAGTCCTTAGAGCGTATGATTAATATCATTTGTCTTTCAGTCAAAGTCTCTGAGAAATAGAGTGAATTACGAGACACATGTAAGCAATTTGTCACAATCATAATAGTAAGTATCAATAACAAGTCATCAACAAATCAAAGGACCATTGTCAGTCTTAGACTAATGATACTATTTCTTTGAGCAGCCAGACCTTTGCATCAATGCCAGGTCCTCGTCAGCAGCATCTAACATTAAATCCTCGGCTCCAATGGCTCCAGCCTTGGTCTTGCGCCTTGGCTTGGGCTTGGGCTTGGGCTTTTGCTTCTGAATGAGAGCACCTGGACCAGACTCTGCTTCATTGTTGGTAAGCAATCCAGGTGCCCGACACGAGCCTGAATCGTTGAGTGCAGTAGTAGGTGGTAATAACTTGCAGTCCTGTGAATCCGCTACAGCAAGAGCTTGCATAGCCACAGATATAGATCCGGGTGTGAGAATAGGTGCATTCAAGTTGGTGACATAGACAGCTGATGATGGGGTATCTTCTTTGTCAGTGAGTGGTGACATGGCTCGGGGAGCATCAACTTCTGGCAAATCACCCCCTGTTTCCATCACATGCTCAAAATCCTCTTCCCAGGTATTGTGTGGACCGCTGCTCACACCTACAAAGTCTGAGCCCAGCACAGCTACAGAGAAAGAAGTAGCAAAGAGGGAATTGTTGAAGAAGGTGTAAATGCTGTCTGCCCAGGCACTGCTGGTCATCAGAGTTTGACGGTAGTAGTTATGGTACTCTTTGTACAAGATTCGAGACTTGTCACCTATGTTGACTAGCTCTTTGTCACCAGAAAGAATAAGGATAGCCTGCAGCCTAGTTTAGTACGTGTCCTGCAATATAAATTTAACAAACATACAACAATTGCTGCTACTGCAATGAGGCCTGGAGTTATGGCACGTAACTCCCATATCTTAGCTTTGGTTTTAGGCATTGGAGGCACATTGGCAGCTAGTGAGGATAGGCCAAAAAGAAACACTTTCAAGATCTACTCAGACTATTCAGGATGTGTGTGTCAAAAAGGAGAAGAACATACATAAACAAGCTTTGATGTTTTGAAAAAGTTGTCTTGGGAGACACGATCTGGATGAGAAAGAGAACTGGTGCAAACTTTGTGTATGCACCTTGAGGGTTAAGGAGCAAGGTGCGACGTGCAGGCTCCAAATCCTGTGCATACCCTCGTATGGAGAACTTTGCGTCGAGATTGAAAATGGCAGCTGCGCACGACTTGACATCAGAAACCATTTTGGCACAAACACTATTGACACCTTTGACAAACTTAAAAGACAATCAGCAGGAATAATTCACGATTCATACACTGATGTACTACTTACATGAGAACCGAAGTTCTTATGGGCCATCATGTTGTGGTCTGCTGGCAGAATAAAAAGAAAGATTTTGGCTTTGACGCCATCCTGTATTGACATTGGAGAGAGCCACCACTCTTTGCTTGTGAGATCGATCCTAGGAGGTGGCGCACACAAGGGGAAAATCATGGTATCAACCCAGAGGCAGTGTGTTATGGAAAACTTGTGTCCATAGTTCTTGATGGTATCTTCCTTGGCAGCGAGTGCGAGGTCCTTGTTAGTGAGCTTTGTCTTCCAACCTTTTGAAAGTGTAGCCTCAAGGAGAGTATTCTTCTTCAGAGCCTCCCGGTACTTTCCTTGCATAACTAGAAGTAGTCTTTGTGCAAGTTCAAGTGCCTAATAGAGACAATTGATCAGCTGCTGTTGTTCATTCACAACATAAAGACTTGCCTTGCGAAGATCTTTGACTGATGCATTGAGAGGAGGTGCTGCAATTGTGGTACAAACATACAACAAATCTAAATCGTCATTGGACTGGTCACTGTCTGAATCTGTCAAGTCAGCAGCAGAGCTGCTATCTATATTTTGAATATCTTGAGCAAAGTCTTCGCCTTTGGCGTGCTGAGGCATGGCAGTTTAGAGAATGTAATGAAGAGCAAGCTGGGAACATCTGAATTAGTCAGACACACTTTAAATCAGCACTGTTCAGGTAGTGTCAGACCCTGTTGATGTAATAAGATGGTAGCAAAACATATACCCTTATCAGAAATATAATATAACCATCGTGTATCCACTTGGAAGCGATGATTAATGAACAAACCAACCTTGTGCTTCAAGACCCTTGCACAGTGACGAAAGAGGAGAATGAGGGTGGCAGGTGTCTGGAGTACGTGGTATTGATATAAAAGGCATGTTCAATAGGCGAGATTGAGAGTAGTGACAGATGCGTGGAATTTGATGTGGTGAAGAGTGTGGATAAGCAAGTAGCTGCTCCAGGATTTGTTGGAGTAAGTGTCGTCACAGATGACCTTGGATGCAAGCATGAAAGTGGATATGAAAAGACAGTGACCATGTCATCACAGATAACCTTGAATGCTCGCATGAAAGCGGATACAAAAGATGGTGACTGTGTCGTCACAGATAACCTTGGATGCGAGCATGGAAGTGGATGCGAAGAGATGGTGACCCGAAGATGCCCAAGTTGTGGGAGTGGGGAAATTGATGGAGGACTGGAATTTTGTGTGGGGAAGGGCAATGCGACGAAATGAGGGAGCTTTGCTCATCAGTGGGAGTTGGATGGGGGTGGAGGTATTGATACCAGGTGCACCATGTTGGCATAGGCGATGGAATGGGGGGGCTTACTTGCCAATGGGGTATTACTCTGGACAAGCAAAGAGATGGGTGATGAGCCGGACGCACAACCATTAGCATATGCAATGAAATGGATGCAAGCATGAAAGCAGATATGAAAAGATGGTGACTGTATCATCACAGATGACCTTGGATGCAAGCATGAAAGCAGATATGAAAAGATGGTGACCATGTTGTCACAGATAACCTTGGATGCGAGCATGAAAGTGGATATGAAAAGACAGTGAGTGTGTCGTCACAGATAATCTTGGATGTGAGCATGAAAGTGGATATAAAAAGACAGTGAGTGTGTTGTCACAGATAACCTTGGATGTGAGCATGAAAGCAGATATGAAAAGACGGTGACTGTGTCATCACAGATGACCTTGGATGTGAGCATGAAAGCAGATATGAAAAGACAGTGACTGTGTCATCACAGATGACCTTGGATGCGAGCATGAAGGCAGACTGAAGAGATGGTGGCCAGAGAATTCCTGCTGGAGGAGGGAATAATAAGTTAGATAAGTTTCCTTTGGACACGAAGAAACATGTCAGTATCAATATAGTCAACAAGAAAATAATCCCCATTGTTGTCAAAATCTGGGACAAGTCAAGCACCACGAATAATTGAATGAAGAGTGATGAATTCAGATGAAGCTGCAGGCTGTGCATGCAGACGAGTGAGTCGCAGGTCTCAAATCTAGGAGGCGCTGACATGGTGAAGCATCCATGGGAAGAACCAAAGCAAGATCTAAGGTGCAGTTGCCGACACTGTGCTTGAACATGAATAATAATTTGACAAAGATATTTTTATTGCAGCCATCCTTGTCCTGCATGCAGATTAGAGCGCAGTCACGACACTCATGACCATGAAAACTTGGACTGCATCACAGATAGTCAGTGGTCAACTTCCAGGTAGTGGTCGACTCATATTGGACTTTGAGATAGTGATGTTCATGTATCTTTTGAAAAAAAAAACAGCATCAGAGATTCAATTAAAACTTCAGAATGAAGGAAACTCACCAGGTCTTGCACTGAAAGTTTCAACCACATTATTCTGTCTGGTAATGGTATGTTGTAGGAGGGTAGGAAGTGATTCAAAAATGTTGTGAGCTTCTTCCTGAACTGGTCGAAGGTGCAATTTGACCTGTGTTCTTCCTCTCCCTGTGCTAGGCTAGTAAGATTCCTCAAGGGTGAACCAATATGCAGGTGAGCTTCAGGTGGCTCATCATTGTTGTCATCTTCTTCAAGTTATTCCCGCGAGTGCATAAGTTTGTGTCATTCCTCATCAAGATAGTTGATATGGCTGTGAATGAATTCAGCAACAAAGCTCTTGTGATCGAGTTCAATAATATATGGTATATACAAAGTTTAAGCTATTGATGGGAAGCAAGCTTCCAGAGTAGGCAATGTCATACCTGGTTAGTGATGTCCTTACAATTAGTCTGCCATAGATACCAACACTTGATTGGTCCGTGCTGCTTCTCATTTGGTCAAGTACTGAAGTTGTCAGCAGCACCTTTCGCTATGATATCATCAAATATGTGCTTTGAGGTGTGCATTTTGGGAAAATTCCAGTTCTTAATTGCATCTGGATCAGTCTCGTCGATGATTGTGATGTATTCCTATGATATAATGCTATTGTCAGTACACTACATTGACATGGAATCAACACGACATACTTCTAAATGCATCTGAAACTCTAAATCCTTGGCTTTTCCTGCTTCGATTGTGCTCTCTGTGTGCACATTGAGAGATACATACATGTCGATACAGAGATAACTCACTATGCACCGTAAAAGTGCATAGCCAGCTTCATCATCTGTGCGTGTCAGTACATTTTGAGTGGTATATAAAATTTGCTGTCAAAATCAAATTTAAGTGGTGTAGGTAGACAACTTTTGCTAGACACTACACAAAGTGAGTGTCTAGCAAAATATAATTGTTGTGGTCTAGCACAGCCTAGTCTGCTATACTTGCAGAACAAGTGTGTTCAACCCAAGGGGTTAACTGTTGGTAGTAGAATAATTAGTTATATGAAAAGGAAGATAGTCCAAAGTGCGGGAAACAAAGTCCGAAGGTATAATTACAAGTCCAATGTCAAAAACGTCGGGTCCGATGTTTTTTGGGTTTCGGGTTAGCAGGTTTTGTTGGGTCTCGTCGGGTTTGTAGTGAATGTCGGGAATAGTGAATGGCGGGTTACTGACAATGTTTTGGAGTGTTTTGGATAAAGAATGGATGATATTTGCAGAATTCAGTGAAGAACTACAGATATCTAATGACCTCCTCCTACTCAGAGGTAGAAAGGTAAGATAAGTAAGAAGGAGGTATGTGAAATATATAGTGTCTATGTAGAATTTTGGAGTGCTATAGGCGAAAGTAGTAGCACTAATTTTTGGGTCTGATGTCCAATGTAATAAGACATGTGGTACTGCGGACATTGTAATAATGTGTTCTACAATGTTAGCAATGTGAAAACTGATAACTGTGCACCTAGTGGGGATAGATACAATAGGACAGGACATAGGGAGGACAAATGTGCAGGAAAATATCAGGTCCGATGCAGCCTAACACTGGGTTCATCGAGTTTGCATCGGGTTCATTGGGTTTGTGTCAGGTTTAGCGGACTAATATCAGATTGAGCGGGTAAGTGTCAGATAACATTGGGAAGTGATTCATGTGCCATGGGTGTTTGACGTGCATTGGAAAATAGCTGAATACGAGCTCAGCACCAGCTCAAGTGCTACAGTGGTCTGTCAATCTCAAATCAATGTGTCGTACCTTAGAAATGTCCCTAAGTTTATTACCATCGCTGTAGGTATGTTAGTAACTCAATCAAAATGATTCAAATTGTGCCATCGTGTGAAGGCAGTGAATCTATGGGCAATTGAATAGTCAGATTCAGATGGAGCAGATTAGTACAATAAATCAACTCACTGGTCATCAATATTTTTCTCAGCACCGCGTCCCAGAGCCGCTGCATGTCATTTAAGCTGACCAAATCAATGTTTCCCCCATTCTCCTATATGATACATGTGAAGGTGGTCCTGCGAGATTGTTTCATGTGGGTTGGAATTTGGGAGCCACCAAAAGACATTCTACAATGGAGAAAGTCAGATTCAATCAAGGATATAATAATGAGTACCAGCCATAACTGGCTGAAGGCCCCATTTTTTTAATGCCTCTTCTCCAGCTGTTTTGTCCCTATTCCGTAGTTCTACACAAGCTTGTGCGTCTTTGGGCATTCAGATTGGATAAGTAGAAGCATTGTTGTACAGCTTATTGGATGGGACAAGGCAAATAGGACACAGACAACGACAATTTGTCCCCTATATCAGCGCCATGACACATCTATTGTTAAGACCGATCAGAAATTTGTCTACAGAAATTAGTATACAATGTACTGTTTCTCATAGTCAGCGGATAAGAGCAAAATGAACACATACAACCACCTAATAATACCATAATAACAGAGATGCACATACCCTGTCTTGGCATAGAGTATAATGGTTTTGAGTAGCTTGAAAAACCCTTCAAGCCATACAACACATTTGAGATTCACATATGACAGCTTGCCGTCCTCTTCAGAATCTTCAGGAACCTGTGCAAAAGAAACTCAGGAGTAACGAGACTGGTTTCAGTTCCTAAATTCAAAGACATACTATTGGTAACCAACTGACCATCCGCTCACCACCAAGCCTGTCAGTGTTTCTGATGTGAACAGGCAAGTTTCCACAATGAGCGAAGACCGGATAAGCTTTGACTGTACCAGTGGAAGAAAGGTGCATCTTGTCTGCATACAGAATGAATGCAAAAGGGACGGCATTTTCAGGTAAAGATGACTGTAATACATGCAAGAAAGGGTATCACTTAATAGAACCATATGAATGATAGTACAAAAAAATAAGTCATACTTGAACATTCCACCAATGATCCACAGTCCAAGGTTCAGTGTAAAAGTGCTCGTAATGTGTCCTATTGTGTTTATATACCCACTGTGCATCCAAAACAAAGTGCAGCGCCAGCAATGGGTCCTGTAATAAGTCCAAAGCCTATTCCCACAATGGGCATGTATATACATCAAACATGAGGTCTTCCTGTTTATGCCAGGTCGTGATAGTATGCTTCTTAAACTGTAAAGATATTGGTAGCTACAAAAGGGAGATGTGATATTCTCCTCTTACAGGTGTCATCTGGCTGGCCGCCCTATCCCAGGCTACAGAAACATCGCAATGGGACTTGAAGGTAATATTTGCTTGACCATCAACAATTCTCCAGATGAGCCATAATAGTGCATCTGTGTGGTCCTTATTAAGGGCAGCATTGTGCGCAAGTTCAGCAAATTCAAAGTCTGCACAACAGCTGAATGGCTGCCAATGTTCTTCAACAACAATAGACGGCTGCTGATCTTGCTTGTGTCCGAATATAGAGAAAGTCTCAATGGAGGTTGCACAACCAGATTTTGGGTGATACTCCATCTTAAATGTTTTGAGATTGGAGTGAACCAAAGGTACTGCTGAAAGTGAGGATGGAGGAAGGGGTGTGCGAGCGCAAGATGCCATGCTGGAGTCTGAATCTGCACCTAAATCATGAAAAAAATAGATGAAGAGTGCATTGTGATCAGTCAAAGTACATACATTGCTGTGAGTCTCCACTGATGCTCATCACATCAACATCTGGTATCATTTCAAATGACGGGCCCACAATAAATTCATCAGGCATATTCTCTGTGCGATCCTGGAGTGACATTGAAGGGTCTGATGATGGGGAGCCAATATTATGTGTTGCGGCTGCTTGTTCCTTGAGAAGATGCTTTCTCTCTCAACATGCCTCTGATGATTGTGTGATAAGAGATATTAGTACTATTGTTTTGAGTTGTTAGAAGGACAATTCACCACATACCTTTCCTTTTGATTTTAATTTGCTCCTCAACCCCCTGTGCTGCGAGCATTGCAAACTCATTATCATCCTTCTTTTTCTCTGAGAACAACTTATTGCAGTATTGACAATGAATCTGGTTGTTGGAGGTCGAGGATATATTTAGTACATTGACAGTATACTTGTGTCCCCTAGCTGGACTGTTTGCAACACTTCTGCTTGGCACCATACAGGAGTGTTGTTAAAAATACAGATACAGAAAGGGGAGGAGACAATACTGAGAAGATAGTAGAGGCAACAAATATCATAAGTCAGGTTTGTCAACTTGACATTAGCATTATTCACCATAACTGTAACATGACAGCTACTGTGTAATAATGGCAACTTACGATGAACTCAGTTTGAATCATATGCACCACTTGGAAGCAACTTGGAAGCGCCAAAAATAATTGTAAGTGACATGTGCTTCCTTTCAAGCGCCCTAAAATAACTCACACCCTATGGGAATACAGACACAATGTAGTTGTCAGACATCAAATTAATGTCCCAATAAGGAACACTTGCAAGGCACCCCTGGAGATTTCCGACAAGCCATCACCAGAAAGGACTAAATAAGCACCCTTACAGAAGGTGTTTTTGATCTCTCTCTTGACTCTGGTGACTTCTGCATAAAGAATTTTGCTTGACAAAGCCTGCCTTGTTGGAATCATAGCTTCAGGGATATAATCATAAAAGAGCTTTTGAACTTTGGAATCAGTGATGGAATTGAGAGACTGGCCAGCAGAGATACATGTATGGAGTAGTTGTTGAGAAAATGCTTCCTGTTTGCTCAGACCAGATAGATTCACTTTTGCAACAATTACATTGAACCTCTGTTACTTCTAAGTTTTTGGAACAATAGCTCTCTCCTCCATCACTGTCACATTGTTACTGGCAAACACAAGTTGTGGTTTTGTGGAAGATTCCTCATTATTTCAGCCTGCCACTTTTTTCCATGTTCAAATATTTCAGCATTGGCCTTGACATTGCCAGGGACATATGAACAACCCAACAGATGGTTTGTCATTATTTTGACCTTTCTGGCAATATGAAGAACATTAGCACATGCTATTTAAGTTCATTAGTATACTATTAATCATTTATATAATACATTAATTGGAAAAAACTTACCTTCCTGCATCAAAACTGTGAGAGTTCTGATAGCCTGCTAGTGCACTTCATCAACCTTTGTAGTCCCTTGATGAAAATGATTCCACAACCGGGACTTCTCTCTACCCATCAGAGAAGCTTAGAGAGGTAATATGGTTACAAAAGACTGCCACTAAGACAATTAGAGAGATTAATGATAATGATTTAAAAGTTTGGTGACTCCCAATTAATCCAAATAACTCCTAGTACATTAACCCTACTAACCCTCCCAAAATCGTAGATTCATTTAACTCACCTCTTAACCAGTTATAACAGGATTAGTAACAACACTGACTATATGTATACAATGCTGATACTATGATTTTCATTGTATATGCATGCTATGACATTATCCATGGCCTAAAAGGCCTCTCATCCCATCTGAGAAGACCACTATCTCATTACACCTCATGCCCAGTTGACTCACAGAGGCTAGAATGCCTCATGGTCTTATCTTGATAGAAGGACTGCATCATGTACTCTTATGTCTGACTCATGACAAATATCAAAACCACTATGAAGGTAAGTACTATGCTGTATATTACCTCCTGCAGCCTTAATGTCATTAAGTTCCTCTCTCTATTCCGCCTTGGAAAGGAACAACACATTTATATGATCAAAAAAGAAATAGGTTCCAAAGTTCAAAACTGTTTCTCTTATAACTTACATTAATGAGCCATGATATAGCTGTGAGCTGGCTGAGTGTCCTATCATCCTCTATGCCAGACACAGCCAAACAAATTGCAAATTAGTTGAGAGAACTTTGATAGAGTCCAGAGCTTCCTGCCTCTACAACTAGATGGAGGGAGATATGATGTTGGGATGGGTGGACCTCTATATGGCAACATTTATAGACACCGTGTGCAGTGAAGACTCTATTTTGCTTGCAAATGTCAGTCTGTTAAACTTTATTTGTTGGTCAGTTTAGTTTAGTTAACTGGCTGCCTCTGTTCAAGTTTCATTTTTTGTGTGTTCATGTGATTGGCCAGACTTGAAGCAGAACTTGTTTTTGATATGATAGAAGCCTGCTTAATGCACTGGAAACATAGTTTGTCTATGAAAAATAACCACCTCATTGTGCTACCTCTGCATTTTTTCTCATATAAGCAGACCCACCTTGACTAATGGTTGACTTTTTCAACCTTCATATGACTTGCTTGGCTTCAAATAGACATTTCACTTGGGGGTATTGAGCCCTCTGAACATAATGGAAATGTCTTTTTGATTTAAAAAAAATTACATTTCAAAGGTGTGAATGTCTGTAATGCTGAGGCCCTCGACACGAGGTCTATTGCTTTAGCCTTTATATCACTTGCATGGCTTGATCTCAGACTCATTATGAAGGTAATTGATCTGTATATATTGAGTAGCAACAGAAATACTTGATCCTGTAAAGTCTTGGTATGATAGTGTCTTCATCTAGATAATACTACTGATGCTTTTACTGTGCCTTTAATGTCATCTACAAACACTAACAATTTTTATTTGCTTGCTTCCCATGTTTGTGTTGTCCTCCTGCTTGTGCTGCTGTGATTTTCAACAATGTCAAATGTCACTCGATACCAGTGTTATATTAAGGTCACAAAGTCTAGTTCAAGGACACTGTGGCACCACCACATCAAATGCAAAGCACATCTCCACACAGAAGCTGAGAAGAAGGCACTTACTGAGAAATACAGGGCTCATAAATGCGCATATAAGGATGCCCTTGCAGATTGTCAGGATCTGGTCATGCAGGAGGCCATCAAATTGCATAAACAGTTTCCTCATAGGATAGTTGAATATTATTTTGAGGCAATTTTACAATAAATGCACACCAAGCAAAAGAGCCGAAAAGCAATCCGTTGGAACACATTTCTTCATTCTGAGGTCAAGGCGATGAATGCAGGTCAGTTGCATATTAAAGTACATCCCTCAGACTCACCTTCCACTGGTGTCCTTAGTAGTGATGCTGAAAAGTACCTCTTCGCATATGGCTACCAAGTGTCAGCCATATGGAGCATCATTCATGCTTTTAGGGAAGGAAATTTGTCTCAAGATTTTACTAACTATCTCTGCACTAGAGGAATGCCTCTGTTGGAGGCCAAATATCTTTTTGAGTTGATTTCAGAACGTGACGTCTATCTTTGTAAGTGAGTCTAGTTCCACCCCTTTGCTTATGTAAGCTGTGTCGTCCTGTCATGCTGCCTCACTCAATGATTGATTTTTTAGCCTTCATGTGACTTGTTTGGCTCCATATGAAACTTGATCTAGAGGTTATTGAACAATCTAAATGAGATGGCAATGCTGATTTGATCCAAAAAAATTAGGTTTGTAAGTCATGCTACCCCATCCCCCCACCTACTTCACAAAGAGGCATAATTGGTGTCAGTAATGATGTGAAAAGGATGTTCCCAGTGTTTAAGGATCATGTTAATAGATTGGAGATGGTTTCATAGCGTTCTGAACCAATATGGAATATGATATGCAAGTTTGCCTGATACCCCCCCTCAAAGATCAATTTTTCTAGGCTTCCTATATCTTGCCAGGACTCCAAAAGTATGTTTCCTGAGGGTTCTAGATGTCTCTAAATCCAATTGTAAAGCTAGTTTTGTTAGGAAAAATCAGGCTGTTGAGATATGCAGGGTCCCCCTCCCCCCCCAAACTCATATATTTTGATATTATGTAAATACTTGTATATAAAAGGATGTTCCTACTGTTTCAAAATTATATAAATTGATTGGAAATGGTACCAGAGTGATTTGAGTCCACCCTGATTAAAATATGTGAGTTTTTCTGATACCCCCCTCAAAGATCAATTTTTCTAGGCTTCCCATGACTTGCTTGTCCTCTAAAAGTATGTTTCTGGAGTGCTCTTGATGTCCCTGAACATGATGGTCAAGTCCATTTTATCAGGAAAGTTGTTGAGATATAGAAAGCCCTCCTCCCCCCTTCTACCCCATATATCTTACTATGGTTACTTTTAACTCCAAACCAATACTGTAAATGATGGTCCCAGTGTTTTTAAATGTAGAAATAAATTGGTGATGGTTCCAGGGTCTTTGGAGGTCAACATTATTGAGTTTGATAACAGGTATGAAAAAGTCAGTATTTTGACATTATCTCCACATCCCAACCACTGTTTTCTTTAATTCATGGTTCATATTGATCCTTAGATTGTCCCCCAACATATGTACCAGCCCAAGAAGAGAAAAAAGTTTTGAACTTTGAAACCTATTTCTGTTTTGACCATATAAGTTAGTCAATTACGATAGTGTCTATGGCTTCTTCAATGGCCTGCAAGTCGACATGTGCTCAACAGCTGTCTAACCTTTCCAAATCCTTTGTGATGTCCTCTGCTCTGACCCTGATGCTCTTTCCTCTGATACCTCTTATGCACATGATGTCTCGCACAGGTTGAGAGAGAAGGGTTGCAGTCACGGGAATGTATGCCTGGTCTTCCTCGTAACAAGGTGGATCTGATAAGTAAGTGTTGTCTTCAGCAATCATGGACTTGGTAGCATCAGGAGTTGAGAATATTGTCCTGAAGAGTGGCACTATAAACACAGATGCAGTTGGGGCATCCAAAAGTCCATCGTAAAGTACAATACTCCCTTGTTTGTAAAGCTGAAGGAGCGCCCACATGAAAAGCCTCTTCATCTTTATGTATGGGTGGCCAGAGCTAAAACGAGAGATGAACGACTTTCGGGTCTGTACTGCCTTCTCTCCCTCTGTGTCCAGTGAAGTGTACCACTACATTTCAGCATGGACCACCTGATTGGCAAGAAGGGCCAGCTCTGGAATCTGATGTAGATGGAAAAGCATAATAGGTGGAGAGATAGACTGTCCTGGTGTCTGCATCAGAAAAAAATGCAGAAAATCCTAGTAAGGTACATCACTGGGCGCATGTTGGAAATAATGCTCAAGATATGATCAAAAAGTCTTGTCAGTGAGGTCTGCCATATGCAACTGAGATGGATGACGAAACTGAGGGGGGTCCTATGCAAACATGTCAGTGAGAAGTAGTATATCACAAAGTACTTACTATTGGACCAGATATAAAAAAACTTCACAACTTAGATGTCGCGCTGCATTTCAGAGGAGAGGATGACTCGCACAATGGACACCTTGAAGGTATCAGCAATGGAGGGTTGACCTTAGCTGGGATCTTGAACAGCTTTAGCACCATGTACTTGCACTTGTGAAGTTCGATGATGGTCTTGACATGCTTTCATTGATTGTTCATCGACTCACAGGCCTCTGAAGGGTCAGTTAAGAGTCAGAGAGACAAAGATGATGTACTTATGAATTTGACACTGATTCATCGCTGGCCATGGAATTCTAAGACTTTCCAATGACCTCTACATGGTATCCAATAGCAGTAGCAGGGAGAGGAAAAGCCCTAACAGGAATAGGAATATGGCACTGTGTGCTTGACCAATACACAGCTCTTGCATTAGTGTCCAAGTGCGTGAGGGGTCCAGGGTGATGAAGTATACAATCGATCACCCCTGTGGAGTTATCAACTGTGGGACTAGAATGGATAATAGCTGACTCACTGGTGTATAGTATCCCTTTTTCCCACACATCGATTCCCACCACCATGCCAACAATGAGGACAATTCGACAAGGAATATGTCCAAGCCAGTAAAAGGTGGATCTAGGTCCTGTAGTTGGTTGATCTTCAGGAGGAGTTTAAGATGGCAGCACTAACCTGTACTAATGCTTTCCCTCATTGAATAAATATCTCTGATGAGACATAGGGGCCATTGCTTGGGCTTTATGAGTCCAAGCGCAGATATCCTCTGCAGATGGAGCACTCATCTGGTTGGACTTTGAGTTCAACAGGGCTGATAGATTTTTTCATATAAGAAACTCTAACTGTGAAGACAACAACTCACATTGTAAAGTGTTGGCATTGGCATTGTCGTGCACTGCCTCTTGAAAACAAACCCATTTGATTGGGCATGCATTATCCATGATTAGTGCTCCTCCCCACCTTATGGAGACCACAAGTTCCTTAACGATATATGGTATTAAGGAAGAAGAGAGATATTAATATTACATAAGCTAGGCAAGCTACTTTATTTGTAGGGATCAGCGATGACAATTACATAATCCTCTACTGTGTATGGTGTTGACCAAAGGCAGGGAATGACCAGGGAAAGCTGCAACGGCAACATCATTGTATGGAGGGCTGACTCCCACAGTTAACACATTGATCAACTTGTTGCGGGGGAGGAGGTCGAGGTCCATTGTTCCCAGACTACGACTAAAAACAAGACCTAGCTCTTTCAAAGTATTGCAATGGAGTATAAGATACAAGACACTGACTAGCGATGCTCTTGGAGGGGTTGGGAAATAGTGTGAGCAGCCTAGGAATGGACTTTCTATTTGAGGCAGGCTAACAGAAAGATCAAAGAGATTGTTGTCATCAAGAAGGCACATATTAAAACAACTGAAGTCAGTGTGCATCAACAAAACTTGGAAAAATGGTTGAAGGAATTTTAGCTTGAGCGGGGCGCTATGGCAATTGGTGATACCCTCTAGATCCACAGTGAAATGCAAGAGGTCGAAGATTGAGAACTCAGTGAGAGCAACATTACTTGGCTTGGGCAAGAGGGAGTTGATGAAGTTACCTAAGGCAGGGCCATCAAGGTGAAGACTGAGTGTTATGCTCAACTGCTCACAAGGGGGCCTAAACCTTTGTAACAGGGTGAGGGCAGCGTCCAAAGTGTCTGCACCCATACTGCCAAGCCAGGAGTTTCAGAACATGATGCTGAAAGAGTGTAAGGGATGATAAAAAGTTGGTGTATGCTGCGGCAGGTACAACTGTCTATCTACAATAACTGTTAGGTTAGGTAGGAAGGGGTGTGAAAAGATTGCTTGCATGCCCTTGGGGTCGAGAAGAGTTACTGTTAGAGCGCAAAGGGTGGGAAGAAGGTGAATGCGACGAGCAAAATCATGAACACATGGGAGATTAGTGATCTCAATGCAGACGAGGTTGTGGAGGGGAGGCAGCACTTTCAGGATATGGGTTAAAATAGGCTCTAGCTCTACTACCGCCTGTGGGATCACAAGGATTTCTAAACCCCTATGAATCATAGATGGTACAGAGCTGAGGATGGGATCACTCCCATGGGAGAGTTGCAGGCAGGTTAGGTGCAGAAGGAAGGGAGCATTAGTTATGGAGGTGTGGCAAGTAAGTATGGCTATGAAAGCTTCAATCGTATCATAGGTCAGAGCACGCTCTCATGAGATGATGGCGTAGATGCAAGGGGCGTAGCCATGAAATTAGTCTAGTTGTGAGGGTGAAGGGGGACCATGCAATATCTAAGGCAGTGTGAGGGTTGCCCATATCATGAATGAAGAAATGACTCACATAATACCAGATACCGTCCACTGCTAAATGCCTTTCGATGACATCCTCCAGCATAAGATGAAGGAGTGGTAGTACAGAAGGCAGTTCCCTCCATAGGACTATTAGTGCAATATCACACACTGCACAATTAACTGTCCAAGAGCGGAAGCAAGTGCTGATGACTGTGAGGGTTGCTGTAAACTAACTTGCATATTGCAAGTGTGATTTCATATGCGAGAGACATGGGGTGCATGTCCTAGAACACGCTACTTAACCCAGTATTTAACCCAGCTGGTATCTGTAGAAGAACTCATCTGTGATCTGAGGTTGTTCTTGTGAGATGCCAATTGTGACAGGGAGATTAATAAACTCACTACGAACTTGACAGGTTGTTACTTGAAAACAAACGCAGACAATGGGTCTAGTTCTTATAAGGTCAATGAAGTGCGTCCATTGGTTTGGGACATCACCGATCCTGGTATACAGAATATGTACCTGGTGGTAAAGCACGCTGTCAGGACTGTATCAGGAGTGAGGCCTTGAAGGATGCTACCAGATGGTACTCATCTTTGTTGTGAACCATAGTATAACTTTCAGTTCAGTCCATAAAGCAAAGCTTTTGTGGTAATGCTTCTTTTCAGATTTATAAAATATCATGAATCGGTAAGAATTTATCCACTGGATTAGCATGCCCTGAATGCTAGTAGTATTAGTAGCATGCGATATCTGATGTAGCCCTGAGGGTCAGACAATCAGTAGGGGCTAATCGCAGAGTAATGTGAACATACTAGGCTCCTGCAGTGCCTACCACTGTGCAAAGCATTTCACCTAAAGTAAACAAGAAGCCGCATCAAAACAGAATTTACAGCTATCAGGAATGAGAAGCTCACCTGGGCACTGTGACACGATATTGGAGATGATGGAAGATGATATTATATAATCTACAGAAGCTACCCAATTTATAGGGATCTCCGATTCATTAGAGACAAGTGTAATTAGATAAATGTCTGAGATAATTTGCTTTGCTCAGTTCTGACTGTCCATAAAAAAACATTCTTGATTTTTCTTTCAGGGCTGAGCTGGAGTGAGACATTCAACAGGGATTTGGTAGTCCACCCTAGTGCCTCCTGCAGTTTTGGCAGTGGCCCATGCTGAGATGTGGCCTGAAGGGGCAGGACCATTGGGCCTGCAGAATAGATTAGGACAGTGACTATATGCTAACTGCTTGAGTAACTTGCTGCCTTGGAAACCCACTGAGATGTTAAAGAGGGTGTGGTAGTCATGGAACTGTGAGGCATGTTCCTTCAGCCAGCAAATTGGGTCTGTAATAAGAGTGAGCACCACATTATGATGAATATCAGAATACTAACTGCATGGTTTTGGTGGGGTTGGTTTAATAATGGTGTCACTGGAGTTGACAGTCCAGGGATCTTCTGTTGAAGGTCCAACATTATTGTTTTGCAAAGATATCGCAGTGAGGACCTCTGGGGACCAGGTCTCCCAGGTAATGGCTAAACAAGAGGCAAGGGCAGAGGGTGTGATTCTCTCAAGCGGAGGGGTAATACTTTTGGGTGGTGCTGTCACATATGACTTTCTGCACATCTCGCAGAATGAATTGAAGTTGCCTCATTTGAGCATTGCACCATTCAATCAGCAACCATAGCTAGACAAATATCAACCTAGTGAAACGAAAAAATGATACACATGAGATAACTCACTTTGTGGCAACATCACAGCATCACATGGTTATGTGTGGTTGACCATGAATGGCAATGATGCAGGTATTTATAGATAGGCCATACAGCGTTGCTCGGAAGCCCTTCTTTGGGCCTCCAATGATGAATACCTCCTTCTTGATGTATTTGTTGAATGTGTCAAGGTTGATATTATGCATCTTCATGACAAATCGAATTGGAACAGTGACCTACAAAAAGTTAAACTCATTATTTCATGTGATTAAGGTTGTACTTATGAGTTGCTCGTCATCAGTCTTCAAGGTCAATTGAGCGCCAAGGAAGTCCATGCTGCATACCTCCCACTCTGTGCAAAATTTGGGTCCACGAGTGACGCTGACATTGTAGCGATGCTTCCTAGTAAATTTGAGGGTAGCTGGAAGGCAGGTGCATTTGACCATCACGGCTTCAACTTGGATGAAAAGCGGGGCTACATCACTGCCAGCATCATTCCTCAACAGTTCCCCCTCATCCTGGAACCAAATGATACCATTGGACACCCATTGGACAAACCCACTTTTCCAATCCAATCTCCAATTAAGACTTAGACAAAGTTGCTGATTTTGATGGACTTTGATTCCTGCGGGGGGTTGACATGTTTGAGTTGACATGTGGGCTTTAACAGTGCGATCAATTGGACAATGCTCTAAATAATACTTGGAGACCTCGACCTAAGAAATGAGTTAGAAAGGATTGTATAAAGGAGACTTTGAAACATACCTCTTCCTGTGTCCCGGACCAACAAATGCAAAAGATATCATTGTTTCTTTGGATGACATGACCTTGGAGTCCCAAGTAATCTCCTGCTACAACACAAACTTCTTCGCCTACATAGAACATGGGCTCTATGTCCTTGAGTCTAGCCTCCACCTCCTTACACAGACCATCCAAGTCAAATGCTAACTTGACTGAACCGCCAAATGCATGATCTGTCTGAGTAAGTCTGGTGTGTTAAGGTGAACTGCATCACCAGAGTGCAATAACTGCTTAGAGAATGTGATTTTGGACTGTTTGCAGAATGGCATGTCCCAACTGGACTGGATATGAAGTCAGATGGCATCAGGATGGGGAACAGGCATCAACTCGGTGCAGTAGTGGTGGAAGTTTTTCTTCAGAAGGCCGCCATAGTATTTTTCGCCTTTGTGTTTGAACCTGACTTCTTCTCCATCACAAATGATGGGGGACATTGAGATCCCGGTAGGCAGGTGCCTCATAGGGAAAGTCTCTGGGAGGAATGAGCATGGTGACAAAATTGTTCATCTGCTCAGAATTGAAGATATACGCTATAGCACCCATGTATTTTCCTTGTTTGATTTTAACCCAGGTGGAGTAAGGATATTTTAAGTGCAGGGAGTTGACCATGGTCTCTTCATTGTTGTGTACTCAGTCCCATTTCTTCATGGAGACCTTAAGGGAGTCAGGAATGGCAGCCATAATAGTTAGAGAACTGTCAGAAGTCACATATAAGTGAGCGGGGACCCATGGGGATACTACAACTGGGAACCCTTGCTTTTGGAGGTGCTCAGCAAGGAATTCCCTTGTAGTCACTGCATTGTAATCAGCATTGTAAATACTTGACCAAAAAAAGAACTTACCATGGACAGTAAACACATACATCCTTTTAGGTAGCAAGGCAGTGATAGAGTGAGGTGCAACTGGCAACAGTCAATGAACTGTACTACTACTCCCACTGTACACATTCTACTCAATCCTATCAATCACATCAAAGAGTTTACACTTTGGTCCTGGTAGGAGCATGACCTTGGCACATCTGAGGGGGCCATTGTCGATCTCAATATCCTCCTCCTCTTGGTTATCTTCTTTGTTGTTGTTGTTGTTGTTGTTGTTGTTGTTGTTGTCACCCTGTTCTGCTTCAATGTCGATATCCGGATTCTTACGCTAGAGTTAATTAGGGTCAACTCTAACTTGAAAAACAACAGCTTACTATGCAAGAATGATGCTGAGAAGTGCATGATCCAGACACTGAACTCAATTGGGAGTTCATTAATCCAGTTGGCATGGCCAAGATGTGCTTATGCTTCACGGCAAGGAGATTGGCCAATGAAGTTTTGTCATTACCATCGCCAGAGAACAACATGAGTCTGGCTTCCATCCAATTGAGAAGGCAGTGATGATCGCCGAGGTATGCATGAAACTCTTCTTCCATCTGACCATAAGTCAGATCTGTCATTATAAACCGCTCTAGAATCTCCCAAGCGACGGGATCCTGCAAGGGCGATAGTGCTGGAACCCCAAAGGTATGAATGAAAATAACACCTGAAATATCTGAGAGTTGCATATCTTTGAATCTAACATGTTTGGCATTCTGCTCTGGCTCAGTTGGTGCAGGGTGTTTGGACATGATCTAATGCTTGATTGTTATTGACTTTTGTTGGACTTAATAAAACAGCTACATACTTGCAAATTAAACTAAGCTATTACTATGGTTATTGTACATGATGTGATGAGGGAGAAAAAAAACCTGCAAACACAGAGGTCAGCCTTATATAGGGGAATTCAGCGATGAGATGCTTACCAATAATTGTGGCCACGGACCACAGCAACTTTGGATTGTTGTGTGGTTAGGGTATTGTGTGACCACTATCCTAGTGGTACCGTGAACTATGTGGAGAAGTGAAAAGAAGAGCTGCAAATGGTAAAGTGAGTCTTTTTATAGGGATGACTAATTTGGGATCACTTACCGAACATTGTGGTGTGCCCAATATTTGTGGATATGGACCACAGCTGTAGGCTATTGTGTTCAAGTTATTGTTTTGACCACTATCCTAGTGGTACCGTGAACTATGTGACAAGGTGGAAAGAAGAGCTGCAAACTGCAAAGTGAGTCTTTTTATAGGGATGACCAATTTGGAATCACTTACCAAGCATTGTGGTGCAGTGGAGATTTCAAATATCAATGAGTGCGATGTGGTGCGCAAAGTTCAATTGAACATGTTCTGCGGAGAAACAACATGTCGTACTCAATGTTCACATGTTCAAGTACACATTTAGGTATTCAGATGTTTTACATAACAACATTAAGTACATGAAACAAATATATAACATGTAATACACATATATATCTAATAATAGCATACAGTGGGTCAAAAATGTGTTCCAATGTTTATAGCTTTTCATGTAATTGCTACATCATGTGTCAAGACATGGAAATATGACTAAGCTATAGGAGGGTGTTAAAAAGGTCTGCCTCCCAGCTTTATTTTGGCTTCCTATGTATACCATAGGAGAATAATGACTTTGTGTGAAGATATGGTTATTTTAATTTGATGACTCATTGGGAGACTTTTTTGACTTTGAGTTTAACTAATGTAATTACTACAATTCTAGTACTTTGTGTGACCTCCTTATGCCCTAATTTCTGCCACTCTTCTAGACATATTCTCTATTAATTTTGGATATTCCTCTTTGGTATTTTCATCATACTCTGCTGTAACACTGTCTCATAGTTAAAATAGCCCCTATGGCGGATCTTGATATGCTACAAGCAATTTCTTGAGTGATTCTCAGGGATATTCAATAGAGTTGATGTCTTGGATCTATGTTGAACATGATAGAATAGTAATATTATGGTCTTTAAGTTATTTGGTAGCCAATCTAGAAGGTTGCACTACATGACTTAAGATCTCTTAATCTGTATATTCTATGATGGTATAGAGCTATATGAGATAAAATGGAGTGGGAATTTATATGAAGCAGAGGGGAGGATAAATACAGAGCAGTAAATACTCATTTGACAGGAGTGTCTGCTAAGAAACATGCAAGAGTCATGAGATAATGATCCTAGGTATACCGTTAAATTGGCCACCAATGGCTTGAATACCATGATATTACTATTCTATCATGTTCAACATAGATCCAAGACATCAACTCTATTGAATAACCCTGAGAATCACTCAAGAAATTGCTTGTAGCATATCAAGATCCGCCATAGGGGCTATTTTAACTATGAGACAGTGTTACAGCAGAGTATGATGAAAATACCAAAGAGGAATATCCAAAATTAATAGAGAATATGTCTAGAAGAGTGGCAGAAATTAGGGCATAAGGAGGTCACACAAAGTACTAGAATTGTAGTAATTACATTAGTTAAACTCAAAGTCAAAAAAGTCTCCTAATGAGTCATCAAATTAAAATAACCATATCTTCACACAAAGTCATTATTCTCCTATGGTATACATAGGAAGCCAAAATAAAGCTGGGAGGCAGACCTTTTTAACACCCTCCTATAGCTTAGTCATATTTCCATATCTTGACACATGATGTAGCAATTATATGAAAAGCTATAAACATTAGGACACTTTTTGAGCCACTGTATTGGTGTGAGGTGGTATGAGGAAGGTAGAAAAGAGTGACACGCAGCTTCAACAAAGTTCATATAGGGATGGCCTATTATAATTAAAACACCGCTAGAAAGTAGCGCAAATATAATGGGTGATGGACAATTCCGGCGGACCTTCAATATTAAATGATGATCCCTATATTAGGTGCTTGCAGAACTTTCTGACTTTTCCTTTGGATCCACCACCATATAGTCAGACCATTTTAAGTATCAGTTATTATGATATTGTATTGTATACTTCCTTTATTGAATCCAAATCATGACTCTGAATTTTGAGCTCGTCTCAATGATATGCCAGTCAAAGCCCTAAATATAGATCAGTCTGTCTTCTTGATGTTCCGAAGGTTAGTTCCAATTATACACAAATCATCAATATTATCAATGACATATATGAAATTAATTGAAGGTTTTAAACATAGTAGACAATCAGAGTAGGCATAGTCCTGATGAGAACTCTTGCAAGCTTGAAGCCACCAGGCAGGGCACACCAAGTAAAACATGAGGTTAGGCTGTTCAAATGATTGTATGTATTGATAAAGTTTCGCACAACAGGTCTATGAAGTGTCTCGCTTGCGGATCAAACACTCGGGGTAGCCTTAGCACACTGATGATCCAGACCTTTCGGCAACTTCAAATCAGTAACATTTGTAATCCCTCCATAATCTGTGTAAGTACAATAATCAAATTACATTCTGCAGTGATGTAGTTGATGAGAAATGTCACAGGCTCAAGACCCTCTGGCAGAGGCTGAGGTGAGCCAATTCAATTGATCACACATATGTTACTAAATTGCTACATGGCAGGTGCATTAAGTGTGTCACTTTACGTGCTTGCATGAAAATTTTACTGATGGTGAGCTTAGCAAATACAATAAATATCTGCCATATTCACACCCAAATTGTCTTCCCTAGCAATGTATGCTCCAAGACATGGATAATGACGACAATAGGTCCTCCCTCAGTAGCTTGTCTGAGCTGTCAGATGATTTGTGTGATGGTGAACTATGTCAAGTTGTGACTGACGCCAAGGTGATTTCACAAGCAGTGGCCAGTCTCAAAGACAGTCCTAAGTGTGTGCTTTGCAAGGCGACAAGGACTCCACACCCGAAGATGACCATACTGAGGCCCATCATTCGGAAGTGTAAGTGCTTGGATAGCCAGCTTAACAAGCACTGGATTGTCCATGTCAACCACAACTTGAAGCACTGGGTGGATGAGACACCAGTGTACAGGTTGCCAGGGGTCTGTTACACACTCAAATAGGTTTGTTATGCAGAGCCCTAAGAGAGGCATCATCTGCTAACATTTGTGACGTAACCGGAAGGATCCGGTACAGTGACTGAGACTGGCGACATTGAGTTGGCAGATATCAGGGGCGCGCATGTCATGTGACTTCTAAGACAGATGTCTTCAAAGTCACAGAAGTCTCAAAGTGAGGACAGACTTGTCCAAATGATGAGTGTTGATTGAAGTAGACTTAAGTGCAAAGAGCACTTAAGAAAAGATACTAGAGACTGAAGCTGAGGGGCTTCAGAGAGAAGTATGTTCCAGGGAAGATTAAGTAGATTCAAGTTAGGAAATCTAGGACAAGATGACTGACTACTTATACTAAGTGGAAAGGGGTTTTTTTTTAATTCTAATTTTTGTCCATTGAGGATGTAATCCTATGTAGGACAGTACTTTCTAATCTACTGGACCCCCTGTGTCCTTTGCTTCCTGAGATCGTGAATGCCCTGACGTGAGGTGTACCCCCATCAGTCCGCTGTTCCTGCTGGCCATTTTAGACGCACATCTCATTTGCGTGATAGGTAGATTTGATGCTCTGCTTGCGGTTGTGTGGTGTGCAGTGATGGTACATGTTTCTCATCCACTTTCGCGGAGTGTTACAGGGATCTATTAGAGTTTCGTATGGGAGGAGGTTAGTCTGAGGGGACGGTTTGGTTGGCTGGCCATCATGCTCTCCTTTCTTCTTTTGCTCTTTTGATGTCTGAGGTCCCTTGTAGGCGAGGTGTGGGGCTGATTATTTGAGTTTGAGTGTATTACTATGTTTGAGGTAGGGTAAAGTAGTTGATTTTAAGGTTAATAATGGAGCATTGCGGTGTGGTGATACATCTGTTCTGCAGATCAGTTCTTGTGTTTCTTGGTTGAAGGTACTACACTGAATGTCGATTTCAGTCTGCGCATGTCATTAACATATTTTACTAGGTGAGGGATCGTGTCTGGACTTGTAAGAAGGTACAGAATGGAGGAGGTGTCGCGTCCTATTGTGCCTTGGATGGTGTGTCTTTCTTGTTGATATTGTGGGCATTCCAATAGATAGTGATGTATGGTGTCTTTGTGTTCTAGGCAGTGTGGGCAGAATGGACTGTCAGTTTTCTTGATGTGATGGAGGTGCTGGTTGAGTGGGGTGTATTGTGATCTTAGGCTTATGAGTAGTCCTGTTAAATGTTTGGGGAAGGTAGCGGTTAGTTTAGCAAATGAGCGATTGATGACTTTGGGGTCTAGTCTTTAAGTACGGTTATACCTGAAGGATGTAGCCCACATCCTTTTCCATCTACGTTTTGTTTCTTGACAGTGCACTTGTTTCAGGGCGGATAAGCTTAGTGGGAGGACGCCATGTCTGAGATATTTCGGGAGTGCCGCACGATTGCTGTTGTTTCCTCTGCTGGTGGCCGCTAACTTTGCTTCCTTGTCTGCCATTTTGTTACCGTGGATGCCTTCATGACCTGGGGACCATTGTAATGTTATGGTGGAAAGGGTTAAGGGCAAGGCTACCAGGTAAGGGTAAAGGGGAGACAAGAATGGTATAGGTATGCTGGCAGCAGAGCTGGATTAGTGACAGATGGTCGAATATGAAATGAGACCAAGAAATGTTGGAATGAACCAATGGTAACAATACAATGCACAGTAGGCATGAGTCAGGGGACAAGATAAGACAAGATAAGGGAAGCCACATTGGTGGCATGAGTCATAGCCTGAAGGCATGTGTGCACATTGGTGCAAGATGAGGGAGATGAGGGACTGGAATGGTCCTGAGGATCCGGTCAATGGATATTCGGTAAAAAAGTGCGAGCTGATAGCAGGTGAGGGCGGAGATGAAGGGAAAATGATAGGGGGACCAAGTGACTGATGTTACTTGTAACAGGGTCTTCCTTAAAGAATTCCAGGCTCGCCCAAAAAATGCAATCAAGGATAGAATATGAGCACAGGAGGTCATGGACAAAATGAAAGCATGGGAGAGTGATGGAGCATCGGGGATTTTTCAAGATGAGCTGGGCAACATGCTGGTTGCATACTTCACAAGACGAGCACACGGCAATGTCGAGGTGAGGTTATTTACTTTGCCCAAAGGATGAACTGACAGCTCGCTAGTGCTGTAGATCATTGAAGGGATATACACGGTACATTCCAGGACCGCAGACCCCATCAACAATGGGATGATCTTCAGCATGTCTGAACAATGCCTAGAGAGAGGGAAAAAATTGTATTTTGATGGAATCAAAGTGAGGTTTTTTGTAATTGGAGTATGTACAATCTACTAACTATTGATATAGAGGCAAACACTCGAAAAGGTGATTGTATCTACTCAGCTCCTTGTCCATCACCTTGGCGTCCAACATGCTATTTGTGACAGTCACCACAATGGGGGTGACATCTTAATGAAGTATGCCAAAGACAGTGTTTCCTCTGGTGAAACCTTGTGAGACCAATGGTTGATGAAGTTTTGTATGGCAGGAGGTAGATTATGTTTATGAAGACGATTCATTTGCATTGGAGAGCACTGGTGTGCTACACCTCATGCATGGGTGGGCAGAGCAAGGTCATGCTGCAGGGATGGTAAGCATTTTCTCCAGTTTGCAATGCATTTCTCTGACACTTATCGCTTTAGCACGGGATTCATCTGTCAAAAAACATGGTATCTGGACTGCGTGGTATCCCCCATATTTATGTGTACTACAAGGCGACTGAGACATTGGTGCTACAGTTGTCTGCCATGTTTTGTGTGAACTTTCCAGAATTTTACAAGAAATACCAGAAGGCTTTCAAGGCAGGCAAATGGATAGTAGTTGACCCTGGCCCCTTCCTAGGTAGGGTAATAGTATGGAAGCTAGCAGTACTTCCATATCAGGATGTATTGGATGCAGGCCCTGCTGTGATATTCCCAATGGGCCGCTTCAAGGGTGGAGAGTATTATATTCCAGATCTCAAACTCAAACTTTCATGAGCACCTCTTTGTGCAGTTATCGAAAGTATACTGATTGCTTTGAAGGTACCGGCCTGGCGAGGTTATCATTCTAATGGCCAGTGTGCTATATCACGGCATAGGAGATTGGACCCCTGAGCCTGGAGTGTCAGGAGATGGCATTACACCAGGGTGGATAGGTAATGTGTGGTTTTACCCCTGCTCTTCATATAAGCTGTTAAAAGATAAACCTATTGGCTGGTCTCTTAAGGAGGCGGGGGACTATAAATCTTGACAGTTTCATGTCATAATATATTAGACTGATGTTCTTGCATATTAAAATATCAAAAGTCACATGCCGTAGTGTTTCTAACTATAATTCACTAGTTAATTGCCAGTAATGTTAAAACTTTTGCATTTCACTGTGTCAATCATTCAAACTCATAAATGGCTACAGAAGCTCCTATTTAACTGAAACCCTCTTCTCCCCTGCCATTTACTTATGTTCATCAAGTTTAACAATCACCAGATGCTCCCACTCTGCTGGAAACTGGCCCAGTGGACAATGTCCAAGTCAGATGCAGTTGTGATTGCGACTCTGCTGTGTGGTGGACCTTGAACATGAAGTGGTGTTCCCTATATTAGGCTCAACCACACATCTTGTTCACCCTCCATATAGTTAATGCATGGTAAGCTCTAGTCATATTCTTTTGTGCTTCTTATTAATCATCATAAAGTGTATTCCTCTTCAATGTTCTTCACGTTCACTCTTGTGATACTATGCTCTTTGTTTTCCCTTGCCTGACGGTGGCCTTCTGAAAGTTTCAATCCTCTGTTGGTTTGCTGTCAAGTCAAGAGATCTACATGAGATTACAACAGCACATAACCCACCATGATCTACCTGAGATTGTGTGGGGACCGACTTTTAGATGACTTACTGGGCTTGGCTGCTAAAATGTCAGGGTTAGCAGGGGCTGGTATGCTCTCTGTGATTGATAGATCATAACAAGGTTGTGCCTGTGTCTACAGGTGATATCCTGATTCACTGTGGGACCCCATAGCTGACACTAACATTATCTTAGGTATATCCCTTCCTAACTGCCAATTTGCTCAACTAATGTTTAACTTTGACCTTCCTCTCACATCAACGTGTCATAAGGACTCCATGCATTCAAAGCCCCCTCCCAATGGGAGCTCAACGCCATAGCATTGGAGCGGTTGCATATGCGGGCTACAAGGGAAACCATCAACAATGAATGCCCTGTACGCTTGTGATATGTTGTTATAATAATGGCTGCCATGTTAAGATGACAAACTAACTAACTGCTGCAAGAATAAGTATAAAAGAGCCTCACAAGAACTTTAAGACAGTGTCAACTGCCAAGTAACACACTATTATAGAAAGGTTGGTTCAGGGGTTGGATCAAACATTGATGCATTGATTTGAGGGCTGAATCAAACATTGTGACACTGAGTGCATGCGCTAAGCCGATTCTCACGGTCGACAAGATATTGATGTGATTGTCTAAAAGTGTATGAAATAGGTGAAAAGATCCTCTGGAGCATAGTGACAAAAGAATAACAAGGAAACAGGTACAAGGCTTGCTATCTATTATACCAAAATTAAACATGTTCGAACATTGAGTTGACATGAGAGAACCTCCTATAAGGACCCAAAGATGTCCTTCATGAATTTCAAAGCAGTAGTGTTTGCTGTAACCTTTGTACCTGTTAGCAAGGAAGCAATCTCAATGAATAAGCTAACCTTCTTCAGCTCAAACCCTAAGAATTGTAATTCTTGCAGGGACTAGGCAGGAGAAAAAGTGACATATAGTTGCCCTATCAAAGATATTAACTCAAGATGCTCAAAGAGTCAATGACAATGTATACGAGGGGAGAACATGTGGGAACAATCTACAAAAACCTTCTGAAATCCAGAACCTTGGCTCCTGTAAACAGTCATTGCCCACCCCAAAGAGAGAGGAACCTGAAACAAGTGTTAGAAAGAGGACTGATCAGTAAATGTATGGTATCAACTTGAATTTGAGAGGCTCTCATTTTTTTCCTGTGTTCTTCATAATCAAATGTAAACTCTTTATCTAAAACAAGAACATGTTCGTGAGTATCCACTTGCTTGAACTTTACAAGAGAAAATAGATTTTTTTTACAACCTCCAACAGCACGACGACTGCCTGGCTGGGCATGAAGAGGTCTGGAGTTCTCATCAACTTAGACATCCTGGATGCTGAACAAAGTCTGTGGTGAGGAGGACCTACCATCTTCAGATTGTACATTATATGATGTGTAAAATCCAAGTATGACCCCTGAGCTACCATTGTGTAGTCTGTTACCAATATTCTTTCGCAGAATGACCTGCACTCCTGGCTTAAGCTTGACCAATCATTCAGCTGGCCCATTGTCGACTAGCTTTTTGGCATGATCAGTTGAAGTGTATATACATGTGTACCTCATTGAATAACCCAATCTCTTGCTCAAATGTCTCTCATTTGCATTTTTGCATGTGAGTGAGTGCAAAAGAGAAGGACCACCTTGACTTCATGCAAATATGCGCAGGGAATTTGTCTCTTCAAGGGCAAGGATGTTGACTGTTAGATCGGACACCTTGCCGATGTGTATCTCTTGTAAAGGTTTAATGAATCCTGGTAATCCTGTTGTTTTAAGTTAACATAAGAGTAGTCATCGGAACCTACTTGGACTCTGCTGGCAGTAGGCTGTAGTCAATCTGATATTCTGTGTGAACATATCCATCCATGATGTGGACATGAAAGCAAAATCAGGTGAGGAGTTCTTGGGGGTAATGAGGGGTAACTGTAAAAAATCACCTGAGGTAATAAGCTGGTTGGTCTGGTGAGTTTAGGTCTGCAAAGAACAATGGTTACGCACCTGGATATTTCCAAAAGGAATATCCTTCTGCCTTATTTTTCTCCCAATCTTATCCAAGCAGGATATAAAGAATCCAGTGACCAAGGAAACTGGGTTGTCATGGTGGTGGGTAAAGTAGGCTAGGGGGCAGACTTACTCTTGTTCACAATAAGTACTTTGGCTTCTATCCAATGCACAACTGCTGAATTGTTGTTGACAACTTTTTTCAAGGCCTATTCGGTGGTTGTCTCGCAATTCATGAGCCCAGCCCATGAATGAATTGTTTGTCCTGCTGTGAGGGTAGGGATTGATCTCAAGAAGAATAATTCAAACTTACCCTGTATCTTGTTCACAGCAGTCCCTGTACTCATGGTAACGGCCACCTCATGCTTGGAGTACTTAGTTAACAAGTATTCAATAATTTTGATGATGGTGAAGGTTTTTCCGGTTCCCAGAAAAAATTGAGTACAGCAACTGAACCAGGCGTAACACTCACCAGGATCACTGGTCAGGAAAAAACTGGTTCCATTGCCAATGAGATCTAGCATGGCCCATTGCTGAGGATTGAGTGTGGTTAAGTCAATGTTTTCATCGGTGGGTCTGGTCATGAGAACCCTAATAGAGTGGTTGGTTATAAGGTCATGGGTTTTTTGTTGGGGAGGCATGTTGTGGAAGGAGGACAAAGTGGGAAATCAAAAGACGGAGGCCGAGGGCAAGTATATATGTGGCCTGGCAACAAACTGTTATCCCTATCTGTCATCTTAAAAATCAACTGAACAGAGCGGTGCAACACGTGCAGCATGTTGTGGACACATGTGAACTTTATTGATGTATGTTTCCCAACACATTTTACTGTCAGAAATTCAACTACTATATCATACAATAACACTAAAAATACCTCAATGCTGTATAGGCAGAATATTCTGGTGGAGTTTGAATATGTTTGGTGTTCCCTATATCAATGCTTACTTGTGAACTTGTTTTCCTCTTTCGAACTGCCACCAAGTAAGGTTCCGCTATGAAGTTGACTATACAATAGTGTTAGTGTAGATTTAAATGCCAATGTTTGACTATATTTTTAATAGATGAATGCAGCCTTAATCATAGACTGTGTTACGACGAGAGTCGCGTGCGAACTGGGATGATCTAACAGCGACGATCACGACAGTGATATCTCGTGCTGAGAGTCCGAGGTCGGCTCCCACAGAAGAACAGGAGTTGCGTACGTTCACAGGAGGCGAACGATGATAGCGGTTTACAGGCAGAAGGGGTCTCAAGTCCTTCTGAAGGTACGGATCTGATGTCAAACAGGTAGCTTTAGCAAGACAAAGGTTTTGAGGGAAAACCCAGTAGGATTAAAGTAAGGAACATCTACTTTAATCGTCGACCTTATATAAGGCTACTCTATCGTATCTAAGCTCAGCTTGAAGCTGGGTTCTAATCTGCTTATCTATCGAGTCAGAGATACCATGCATGAGGCAGGCTTCCATCAGTACATGAGGCAACATGAGGCTTGCCTTCTATCTTGATAACATACATAGGTCTTCTAGACCTATGTCGTCATATCATGTAAGCGATCCAGATCGCTTTCCTAATCCGGCATCTTCCGGACTTCTCTTCTATTCATCATCTATCATCAAGGCCTAAAGGCCCGGTTATCGTGCTGTTGCCGTGCAGGGTGGCAGAGGGCTGGTCGAGTAGCTGGGGGCTCTCGTAGTGACTGTAACAGACTGCCCTGGAATTTAGACTTAATTATAGATTTGATAGGATGTAACCTAATGATAGACTGGTCTCAAATCAAGACTTAATTATAGATTTAATAGGTGTAGCCTTTATTAGTCATCAACATCACCATGACTAGGCAAGTAGCCTTATCAAGACTAGTCCCAAATCAAGAGTTGATTATAGATTTAATAGCCTTTATCATAGCTCACACTGCATCAGGCCCAGCAGCTCATTAATAATAATGCAGTGTGATCCTCTACCTTTACAATTGTTGGTGGGATCGTTCAAGCAGTATCTAGTTTCTCCAATAGCTGGGCACTCTCTTCGAATCAACCAAAGACAACAGGCCCATCAAGTGTCGCGCTTGTCATAGTAAGTACACAGTGAGTATGTCCTATGCTGATAATATTACTAACTACTTCATACAAACTTTTGAAGGATAAACCGGCAAACCGGTCTATTGAGAGGGTGGGGGGACCATTGGTCTCGATACCTAACTGTAAAGTATTTTACTATGCTTTGTTTGTTTAAGTTATCTAGAATTTTGGTCATGTACACCAGTCAAGAGCTCTCTAATGTAAGGGTTAGAGAGGAGAGGAAAGAACTCTGCTGATTGAGAGCATACTCAAGCTGCATGAGCTTCAGTACCAAGCATGCAAATATTGTTGAATGCCATGACAGTATGCCTATGCACAGCCACTTTACACTGCTGTCGCATAAGGATGGCTAATAAAGAACCCCTGGCAATCTCTCACACATAAGCAGTAAACCACCTTTCTGACTTTTTGCTACATTCACCAGACCAATTCTCGTTTTTCTGCCACAGATCAAGAGTGGGCCAGACACCACCGCAGTCAGTTATGCCCAATAGAAGAGATATATCTTCATCACTAATGCAGTCATCCACCAGTGCGTCATGTGCTTCACAATGGATGAGATTTAAAGCATTGCTCAATGGCCCCAAAATTGCAGACTCAAAGAGTTGAGACAGTCCATAATGCAGCACAATGCGCCACAAGATACCACCCATTGTGAGAAAACAATGTGCATGAGGGAGTTAAAGGAGGGTATGGAGTTGCATGTGTAATCAACAAAAAATGAAGTACCTGCCATTAGAGGGCAGTTAGTTGCCTGGAGATTGACAGGGATTAAGACAGGTGATTGGAGAGTCCTTGTGGATGGCGAGGGGAGGATTTTGCACCTGGATGATGAGATCTTGATGGGGCAAGTCTAATAAACCGCAGGAAGTGATGCTCTGTAGAAATTCTGTAGTACATGATCTGTACTCCTTCCAATCCTGGGCTGCATTAAGCAGTGAATGAACGATGTAACCCCAGGCATTCAACACTGACTGATGGAATTTCCAAACCTCAGTAGATATATCATTGTTAGTCCCTTGTAACTTCCTCAAGGAATCTACACGCAAGAGATTAATGTCGATGGAGGGATTGCCATACACAGCAAATATGACATTGAGCCATGAGAGGGTGTCTTCCACAGTGGTCTCAACATTTTTGAGGAAGGCAGAGGTAATGTGACTCTTGCCTGCATAAGAGTTCAGTGTGCTAGCTAACCCAGATGGGCAATGGAACAGGAAATAATGTGCGTCTATTCTTCGGAACAAAAAAATTGAGCACTTGTGCACAGCATTTTGCACCATCGACCAATTTGCTGTTCTTTGCCTGCTCGAGTGATGGGATATTTTTCTCCAAGAAGTAAGTCATGCTCTAACAGATCTGCCAGATGATTGGTGGAAGGTGGATGGGGAGCTTGGAGATTATGAGTTGGCGGGTATGGAGCTTGGAAAGAGCGGGAGGAATTAGGCAAGGCCAGCCAGCCCTGAGCATGCACAGGTGCTGCCTGAGGCTGAGATTGGTGTCCATTGGCAAAGGAAAGCTGTGAGTCCACTCTGAAACAAGCACCTTCACTGCGGGGTACTCTGCTGGTAGAACGGTTGATCAAATGGTACAAACTTTCTGGGATAAAAAGGGCAGCGGATGCATCTGAATTCTCAGAGGAAGATGATTACTGTCAGGTATGGGAGGAGCATGTGGTCTGCGCAGGTTCTTGAAGTCTGCTGCCTCCCTCATATAACTGGTCCACACCATCTTGAAAAGGTGTGGGTAAAAGGGGCATTTGATGGAAAGCAATGTTAGCAGTATGATGGCTGATGAGAGTAGAAAGGCCATGAATCTGATGTCCTACTAAATTGATGAGGGCATGTGATGGTGTGCTAGCTTCAGGTTGGGCCTGGTCTTTCAGATGAGAGCCCGATGGGCTGCTGTAAAACTGTTGATGTTGCCTCACTGTGTGCTGTATATCAAGTAAGGGTCAGAGGGTTACAAAAAACAGAAAGAACACATACTGCATTGGAGAGACATATATCGCATAGCTCAGTTTTGAGCATGGACAGGCATGTCTGATCTATGCCATCCAAAAACAAGGAAATAGTCCTTTGACGGCAGGTGTGAAGAGATACAAAATCTACCATTACTTGCAGGTCAGGCCAAACATCCAGGAAGACAGATCACACAGCTGATCTCCGGACCATTTTCACAGAAGAGAAAGGGTGTTTCAACCCAGACACTGGAACACCTGAGGATGGCTGGTGGTGCAATATTTGCAAGTACATAAATTTCTGCACCATAAAATCTGCATTGTAGTAGACTGACATGTACCTTAGGGATGCAGGGCTGCCGGCTCATCAATTGTTTTTCAAAGGTAGTATTTCTACATGCTGTACAGATATTTTAAGGTGAGTATCCTCACTACCTGCAAACTTAATGCTGACTAACCCAATAATATAATAGGAATCTGAAGTGTCATTTCCTGGTCTACAAGAGCCAATGTGAGGCACAAGATATCATGCTGAATGAACGTGCTATTCCTACAAGTGTCCAAAACTCCAGCAAGCACCAGAAAACATTGGACATTGCCTCCTGCAGTATCCTTGCCCCAATCTTTCTGATAGTGCCATTCCTCACCGTACAAAAACCTGTGATAAGATACTCAAAAGAGCCAGACTTGCTGTCAAGATGATCAAGGACAAGCTCATGCACATTGACAGCAAAATATTGATTATGTTTGACTCCTGGACATCTCTCATAGGCGGCCCTTTCTTATCAGTCACAGCTCATTATATTGATGCTCCTGCTGACAAGCCCCAAGAGTGGGAGCTGAAGTCCGATCACCTTGCTTTCAGGTATATTGAAGGAAACCATGGTGGTGCCAACATTGGGCGCATTTTAATGGAGGTTATTGATGAGTATGGTGTTCAAAAAAACACCAGTATCTTCATCTTCATCATTCAATATGTTTGGCAGCACAACAGACTTTGGAAACCATTAGCCGGCCATGAGAACTAGTTAAGTGCTTTTCACCAAGTAAAATACAGATGTCTTGAATGGCTTCCTAGGAGTGGTGATGAAGAACAACTCAATTTAAACCCTTGATTGCATTAACTCAAATTAGCTATCCATTCACTTTCATGGAGACAGACATACTACAAGGGTGGTTCCAGCAGAGGTGACCAGCTGCTTGCTTCCTGGGTGTGGATTGGTAAGTGGTGATACATGTTCACTAGACTGCATTGCATTCACTGGACTGCATCATGTTCACTGGTTATGCAAAACCCAGTTGCAGTGCATGAATACATCACCCATGGAAATTTTCTTTGCTTTCAGTGAAGGAACCGTGGATTTGAATTTGAGTAGATCCGGATCTTTTTCAGCAGCTTGGAGCACATCATTGGGTTTCAAGTGTTACACAAGTGAACATGACAAACCACCCAACAGTTGAATAAGTTCTTGATGGCTAGGGTACTACCTTGTTCCCAGCACCTGGAGTACAGGATGTTTCATATTGTTGATGAGCAACACCCGGAGATGAAGACCTGTTGGCTGTAGGGAAGACAGGTTAACTTGGCCCTCAACAAAGTATGACCATGCTTCACCTCTATCTGCAACTGATCCCAGAGTTGACCTATAGCACTTTCATCAACCTCAATAGCTGGATCGGTGTCCCTAGCCAACTTGAATTTTCCAGATTCAAGTATATTGACATATTTCTTGAGGGTCCCTAGAACAATTCTTGACCATCTTACACCACGCAACTTGATCAGCAACCCAATTCCCATGTCCAATCAACGAGTAGCATATATCACATGCGTAAGCCCTGCTTACACTCACTACCACTTGCAACAAAGATATCAGGTGCAGAATCCAGGTCAATCACCATTGAGTATAGGTCAATGGCCTTATCGTAATCGCTTACAGCGAAGGCAGCCTCCCCACTGGCAGCACAGACTGCGCTGCATTCCTGTTTGAAATCTGAGAGGAATATAGGTGAGAATCATAGCCTGCATGACATGACTTGGCTCTAGACTCACCTTTGGACCAATCAAGGTAGTTGGCTTTGGTGATTGTGTCGCTCAAAGTCATCAGGCATTGGTATGATTTCACCGCATCTTGAAGTTTACTGGTTCAAAGGAGTGCATCAGTGTTTCTGGTGTGCCTGTCGCCACAACAACCTTAGGTCCCAGCCCAAGAGCTGGACAAGAGATTCAGTTATGAAAAGTGTCACATAGGCATCACCATGACATACCACCATCAAATCTTCACATACTTCATGAATGTCTGATTCCGATGATGAATCGGTGAAGTCAATAGCAGCAGTGAAATGGTCGGTGGCTTCGTCATAATGTACACCATCCAAGGCTTGGATCCCGAGTTGAGGGTGTAGATATGCCTGATGTGCAAGTTGTAAGGATGAGTACTGGAGCATGTCGGACAACCGGCAGCAAGCTCTTTGAGGAGCAGGTTTGCCTGGTCATGTTGATCTGTGTTGAAAAATGCGATGGCCTGAAAATGTGTGATGAGGGGAAGATTTTGCCAGACAAGTGTAGCACACCATACCATGATCAATAGCAGGAAATGAGTGATTTCTGAGTTGTGGTCCAGCGGTCAGCTGAGAGTCGATCCCAGTAAACCGGTAGGCAGACTCTCACAGATAGACATGCAGTTCTCAGAGAAGTTAAACCGATGCCCCCTTGATCAATACATCTTCTACGTCTGAAGCAATGTTGCCACCTAGACAACCCAGAATCACAGAAATAAGTCTCAGAGCATAACTGGCGCATCAGATATACATATGAAATAGGTTGAGACACCCCATAAGACCTGTCATCAATGACTTCATAGTCCCCAAGTCTTGGTCAGATGAAGAAGATGCAGCACATCACTGGAGTTTGCCACCAGGTGCGCTACGCCTCAACAAAAACAGCTCATCTTGACCCAGAATCAACCCACTCGAGAACACTGAGCATTCACATGATGACACCGGCAAGACAGCCTAAATGAGATATTAGCATGTAATTAGTGGTAGTCAGAGTGGACGATTTTGACGTGATTCAGCATGTGATTATGAGATGATTCGGAAATCGAAAATTGCATGAAAATTGCCATCCACTTTGAACACCCCACAACCAGAACAGATTCTCAATGCGATTCTCGTCGGATTCGTAAATTATTATATATGTATTACCTATGTTAGCTAGTTGAACTTCCACCATCGGAGTATTCTGGTTGTGGGAGAATTGGAAGTTCATATGGATCATCATCATTTGATCGATAGTGTGCTTGTGAAGGGCCAGCCTGATCGATGCGAGGCAATTGAGCCATGCGAAATTGATGCTCAAGCTCCAGCTTTCTCAAAGCATACTCAGTCTTCCTCCTCTCCTTCTCCGTCTCACATCTCTCCTTCTCCAGCTTGATCTGAGCCTTGGCTTTTGCTTTGACAACAGCAAGTGATGCCTTGGCCATGAGTGCATCAGCCCGTTTCTGCGCAGTCAGCTCTTCCTGCTCAGCCACTTTGGCATACCTGTCTAGGAATGATTTTGTCTTGGATGGTTTAGTGCTCATTGCAACCTTTAACTTCTTTGCAGGCTTGCAATCTTCGTCAGCAGGATCTTCGACCTTTGTTAGATGCTGATGTTTTGAAGGTTTCATGTCATCACCACTAGAGTCTTCTCCATCATGCTCTACATCAGACAATCCTGCAGGCTCGCTCTGTGACTCATAGAACTCTTCACCTGACTCATGTTGATATCTTCCTCACACTCAATGCCAGCTCCTGTTGTCCCCATCTCCTTGACATATATGAGTGTTTTTCGTTCTAAACTGCCAAAAGGGTCAGTATTAAAACATCGCAGAACCAAATGACGACATACATCTGCATTCGGTTTTTGATCTTTCGCACCCATGCTTGTCGCAAGGCTTTTTCTTTTGGGTTGCTGAGTACAATTTCGAACGCACTGCCATACTCCTCGTGGCCATCAAACAGAATCTTACAGAGTGCCCAGTGGTGTTCTGTTTTCTTTGCACCTCCTCCATTTTTAATTGACACATTTGCACCTGGTTCAGGGTATAAGCCCTTTCGGATGATGTCATCAGATGTCACGGCACTGATGAGGGACCAGGTCAAAAGTATCTGTCCAACTGATAGCTCAAGGTGAGTTATGTTTCATCTGTTTTCTGATATCTTTCACACACTCGATGTCAGGGACTTCCTCGTCATTATTTTTCTCGTTCTCGGCCTTCTTGATAGCCTCCATGGTATCTCCGACTTCGACTTTGGTACCCACTTGTGGCGCTTTTTTGACCTTTTTGACAGACGCTTTCTTACGAGCTTTCAGCGAAGATTGGACACCTTTTCCTTTGGGTGTCATGCTGCTCTAGTGCAGAGAGGGTGCTCACAGCTGCTTGCATGCAGGACAAGTATATTTAATTGGAAGAAATACAGCTGTTTACAGTCTGAAATCCGATTCAGAATTACCAGAAGCACCTCCAGAGGCGCTTCGACGATTCAGCACGATTCGACGTGAAATTTGATTCTCAGCATCCAAAATCGTTTTCTGAATCACATGCTGAATCACATCAAAATCGTCCACTCTGACTACCACTATTCTATAGTTGCAGAATTTTTGCCCAATGCGTACCATAGCAACCCCGAAGAACGCCACTTACTGGAGATCTACCAGAGGCCCCGAAGTAAGATGGAGGAAAGCATCATAGCTAACATAAATGAGGCCTAGGGCATTACCAGGTTCATCCTAGTCGGACCCATTAAACCAGGCGGGGTTGCCAGGTGCTGGTTGCCAGAAAGTTCGGGCTGCAAAGGAAAGGTCTGGGGCAATAGCGGGGAAGGCCCAGCAGCCGAGCTTGGTACGTCCTTCTCCATCTCATTTTGTATCTACTTGTTAACTTCAATCCAGATGGGTGACTATCAACATTGTCATCATTCTCGCAGGAGAACTACTCAAGAAACCAGTGAACTTTCCTGTGATGGGCCTCCACCATAGCGAAGTCGTCAAGGAATACAAACTTGCATGCGCCAAAGCCCTCGGTGAACTAGAAAGTGAGTCATTTCCTCATACTGATTATGGTGTCTTATGAAGCAGCTTATATCTATTGATGTCTAGCCTACAGTCCCCTTTCATACAGGAGCAGCCCTCAAACCCTTTTCACTCGTTTCAGACAACTTGAAAAAGTATACTCTTCTTCATCCAATAACCTTCTACATCTACTAACTATCACTCAATAATCAGATCTTCAAAGAAATCCCCAATTCAGGCATCAAAGTCATCATTGCAGGCTCATCCATCATCAACTTCGCCCTACACTACCTCAGTTGCTTCAATATCACTGTTCTCAAGGTCCACTCAAATTTGACCTTCACTGTGTAGCTTGTGTCGTCAATGCCACACCTCTTGTGCACATTAGCACACACTCCCCAGGGGAAGCCAGGCCATGTCGAGACGGCTCACTCTCGGTGGGGATGGGCACATGGAGAAGATGCGCACAGCAACAATTGTGCCTAGAGGGTGACAGCCAACCATCTCAACAATCTCAAGCGCCATAGCTAGTTCCTGGCGTAGATACAACAGAGCTGGAGCTAGGAAAGCGTGTTGAGGTATGCTGTCAGCTACTGACTTCAAGATTTTTGGCCCACTAGCCATAGAGCAGTGTGCGATCAAGACATCAGTATGATTGTTCCTGGGGTTTTATCATCTGCACCGGCTCCACCATCTGTACTGGCACCAATGTTGTCTGCATCAACACCGGAGAATGGTAGCCTGACAGTCTATTTGGAGTGTGAGGATGCGGTGTTTACTCTCATTCGACGATTCCAGCTGGCAAGTCCTCTCTTCATGTATTTTGCATAGACCACATATCTTATGGAAAGCCTAGTTAAGAGATATCAAGCTGGTCTGCAATATCAAAAGTTCCTTCGCTTCTCTCCTCACATCAACACAATATGCCCTGATCGGAATGATCAACCTCGTGACTTCACTACACCATTCAATAGATTGGCAACTTACTCTGGACTCTAGTCTGATCTCTTCTGGTCTCTCAGTAGGCTCTAGAAGCGGCCCACTTCAATCCCATCTTAACAGATTGTTGCGTATTGGAGTCAAATTTTGACTTCCCTGCATCTGATAAGAACAGCTAGTAATGGATGGTCTGTGAGACATGATGATTGTGGTGGAACGGGAAAAATGTCGAGGATTTCAAAAAATATGTATCATTCAGTTCTTCCACCAGGACTATTGGCATCCTCTTCCGACTATGGTATAGTAATGTCAACATATGTGTGATTGTGCTTGAATATACCTCAGGTGGCTTGGTTTGAAATGGCGGAGTGATGTGGGTCATATTGCACAGATTCAATGAGTTCAGATGCAGAGAGGATTTCCACATCTGTGACATGTGTGTGCCATGCTTCTTGAGATGGATTGAGGCGTGCAAGGCTATATGCACCCGTCACTCAATCTGGAATCTGACTTGAAACATTGTAGGAGTCAGTTGTGCCAATGGGCATGATGTGGTCCATTGTAGCTATGGGGTTGCACTGATAGAAAATATGGAATGAGCTGGGCATAATGTGATAACCATGATCTACCCAATCCACCCATAGAGTAGACAGTTGGATTCCCCCAACCTGGAATGTCACGATTAGATTTATATCCCTTGGCATCAACAATATTTCAATGGTGGGTCTATTCTTGTAATCATCGAATGTGTGTTGATCTTGGAGCCATCTCCTGCCTGAATATGCAGCTAGTGGTGGTGGTGCAATTTGACATGGAAATCACTTGTTGCTTCCTAAATCCCAGTCTTTCTCACTTGTCTGCGAGATGCTGAGGTAGATACAGATCTTTGGGAATCTGTAGTTCCACAGATGTTAAGTGGCATGTCCAGTTCCACTTCAATGTGTGTTCCAATCACATGAGGGGGGGATATTATTGCAATTCTGAGATCCAGTCAGTTGTTTGCTCTCTTTCAAAAGCTTGGTGAGGTTTTCCTTTCTCTCTGCAGGGAGGGCCATGCCAATTGGATTGTCACTGTCATTCCAATAATCTTCCGACTCATTCTGATCCAATGTGGCTTTGTTGTCATATTGCCATTATGTGATGGTTGTTGCATGTCCTTGTGGGGTAGAGAATGTTGACATGTTGAGCAGGTGGCACTGACAACTGTTAATTTATGCAGGAATGTCAGGCATTCTGCCTGATGGTAGCCATCCTGAATTGCATTGATGATGTCCTCATCTGGTACATCTTCATGTCTCCCCAATTGTCATGTGAGTTGTCCAAAAGCATGAGGAAGTCGCTACAGCTGAGCCTGATACGCCTAGCAATCATACTCAATATTTTGATGTGCAATATGTGGCCACATTGAACTTTGAGTACTGGATCATCTGTTATTTTTTCTGCAGCTCATAATGGACATCTTGGACATTGTCTAATTCAAAACTACTGGAAGGTGATCTACGAATGAACAGATTGTTGGAAGCTGCAAATTTAATGTTGCAGAAATTTGGCATGAAGTAGTCATGGCCTCACTTACTAGCAACTCTAGCACGAACAACACACTTTTTTGGCTGTCCCCAATGTCGCTGATTGGTATATGGACGTGTGCTCAGTTTTTCTTTGTTCACATATAGTTTGTTTTATGGTTGCCATTTTGGGTGACAGTGTTTACCTTTCCCTGATGGTGGTCCTTCACTGGGTTGCTGGTAGCACGAACAACTGGTGTATGATTTGGTCCTACATGCTGCAATGAGGACAGCTCATCCATGAAATAAATTTATTTCCTTGGTTCCTTTCCCTATGCTGGACATTATGTGTATTCATTTCAAATTTTAGTAGACCCACATTGTGCAATTCCCTTCCCAGCTGGTCATCCATGTAGGCGCCATGGCATATCTTTTAAATTGTCCTTCTGTCGACTGGTGCCTCTGTTGTCTATTGAATTTTCCTCGATATTTTCATCTCTATCCAGGCAACCATCTGTTGGGTTCCAATCTAGGATTCCAGAGGTCATGATCAGCTGAAGTCATATTCACTAGAAGACTGTCCATATGCTGCTATTACAAATAATTTGTAAATAGAATCACCTTGATGCCAAAGAAGATATTGAATATCTTTTGGGATAGAGTGCTGCTGCCATCCATAGGAGACTGCACTGACATCAGCTGGGCAGCTCACTCAAGCACACTTTGGAGGAGGCAAAATACAAGGCAAGAGGGTTCAGAGATGTGCAGGACCACATGGAAGCTTGAATACATGATGGAGAGTATACTTCACAACTCGCGAGCAAAGCTGCAGTCAAGTCATCAGGCAGCTCACAGATGTTCTCCATTGGGAGCCAAAGAAGAGGGCAAAAAAAGGTGTCAGGAGCAGCTTAGCATATTACGATAGAGGTGGGAACAAGTTTTGTTCAGACTAGAGTCCAGAGTAAGTTGCCAATCTATTGAATGGTGTAGTGAAGTTGTACAGTACCTAGAGTCCAGAGAAAGTTGCCAAAGAGGCAGGGAGCACTGGACTCTGGGATATGGGTGATGTTGTTCATTGAGATCAACTGCAATAATTTTGATGAATTTTTCAATTAGTCTTGTCGTATGCATAGGTGAATATGAACTTGTGCTCAGTGATCATGTTTCTGTTATTGATATTCACTGTGTGGAAGGTATGTGTATTGTTATTTTCATATTGTTGCACAATTGCATCAATATCCATGTATTATTTGTAGCCCATGCGACGACCATCTTGTCACAACATAATGCAGGAGATATTGAGCAACCCCAGAACCATTGAGGGCACTGTATACTTGGTGGACCATTAACATAGAGTTCTCAAAGACCAAAAATATTGTTTACATAGATGCAGTGAACATCCCAGTACATCCATATCTTAATATTATGGTGTGCTTATGCTGATCACAGATGCAGAATGCTCAGTCATCCACAGGCTCAGCTCACAAAGTCACTTCCTAGATCTCATCAGAACCAAGGTTTGTCAAAGCCTGGTCGACCAATCATGTTTGCTGCCAGAAGGCCTGCAATAAAGCAATAGCCACCAACGTGTCTCTGAAGTTGACATTCAACCATTATATATGTTCATAATTTTGAGAACATGCTGTGTGAATCTATGACGGACATGTGATACCCTTTTGCATATTTTGCATTGCAGGCACATATTCTTCAGCTTTGTCTCTACCCAGTGTTGTCCAAAGTATTGTTTTCCATGAACATGAAAAATCATGTTGTACACTGTGCTTGACACTGCATGTTCGAACACCAGTATATATCCAGGCCCCACAGACAGCCATCCTTGCTGTGAGAGTATGCCAATACCCTTGCATCCACCATGCAGTTCCGCTCGCTGTTAGGACCATTGTTCATAATCGCAAATGAGATATACACTGGAGATTGGTTGAGAGCATGTCTGTCCTCTTCAAATGACTCTTCCATCACATCCCAGTTACTTTCTGGCCTGACCTTGTCAATGGTTGGGCATTGTCCACACACATTGAAATATCATCTACAGGTGCTGGATTTAATGCTCTAAAAAACTTTGCATTCAACATCTTTGCAGCAGCAGAGATGGTATGTGGCTTCAGACAATAAATAACCTGGTTTCTCATGCATGAGAATTTTGCAAATGATTATATTAGTCATGATCAGTAGTGTTCAATCATCATTATTTATAATTCAACACCTGCAATATAATGTTTACAGAGATATTATGGCCCTGTACCTTGCTCAGAATGTCCATCGAAATTACAATATAATCCTCATGCACATCTTTGAGGTAGGTCATTGAATATGCTTTATTCTTGTGATGTGATCTAATTGAGGTTTACTGGTGAATGGCACAACTACGACGATAATACTCTGCCTGCTCATGCCCCCAAACAATTTCACCATGCTCAAGGTGATTTAAAGTCATTCTGTGTTTAAGGATATCTTGACTTGTGGACATTTTGCTTCATTAAGAGGAGAGATGTTGGACTATAATAGGGAATTTCTTGTGGAGATGTGGGTAAAGAATATAGTCCCATTCAAGTACCATCATAATGTGTATGCAACCATTGATGTGATTGATGGGTGCTTGTGATATGAAATTATATCTACGAGTAAATGAAGATGTTGATGTTCATCACACAGTGGACACTATACCTACACATGAAGAAGAAGCCCTGAGTAACTACAACTGTTGTATCAGTTTTACATAAGCACAGAATTGTTTTAAACTGTATTGTGTGATGATACAAAGATTTGAGAGAGGGAACACTGGTAGTAAGAAAAGACTTGCTGAATGAGATGAGATGCACATCTGTATTTCTATGGTATCTCAGTGCATGTGCACTCCAGGACCTCCTGAATGTGCATCTTCTGCTGCTCCAATTCGTCATTGAGCTGGTCCCTCACCAGTTGACTCTCTGATACCTCAACTCAACCTAGACGCTTGACCTTGAAATCCATTGCTTCTATGATCTCTAATAGTCCACAAGTATATTGAGCCATCAAAGCATTTGGGCTTGGGGATCATAGATTCATAATGTCGTCATCCTATGTATGATGTTCATAGTAATTATGAGAGCATAAAGTGTGACATATGGACGTACAATATCTGGTGCTGTCTCCATCCATATATAATATTGAACATGCTCAAATGCTCTAGATGATGTAGGGAGATCTTCACAATGATGTTTGTTGTAATGATTAGACATAGCAATGAATAACTTTGAAATCTTGATGTAGATCGTCAATGAATGATCAAGCGTCAGGACAACTAATGCATGATGAAAGCTCAAAGTGAACTATTTGTAAATGATTCTCACAGACCGTGTTTGTGACCATAGTACATCACATGTAATGAACGCCCCAGACATGAAAATGAGAATAAGACCATAACGAACAGGCCTAATGCACTATGAGCTCTGGTCTAATTCCTGTTAATGGATTACAGCTGCGATTAAAACATGAAGGACTACTTTTACATTCATCCAGTCTGCCATTTATGTGACCAAATATATCCATATGACATGGCCACTAATTCATCTTGCAGCATTTTCTTGGTGTCGTATGCTGAGGTTCGTACCGCGCACTCTTTTGACTCTATTTTTCTGTCTAAATAAGCAATTATTACAAAGAAAACAAACTGAAAACGATCATTTCAGTGCCATCAAAATGCTATATTAAATGTGATCCTTTGGCCTTTGTTACAGAATGGTATAGATGACCATATTGATGCAAGGCGAAGTCAGTCAACCATCCCATGTCATATTATCCTATTTGGAAGATAATCAAAGGATATAATGGTTAATTATTCTTTGATAACAGTCAAGAGCAGAGTTAGTTTCAGACCAAATATGCGATGAGTGATGACAGTGTGTGTTTGATTCTCATCAATCTCTCCTTGTACTGAACCAAGCATCATAGGTGTTACGCACTCAAATAGATCTGTTATGCAGAGCCCTAAGAGGGGCGTCGTCTGCTAATGTTCGTGACGTAACTGGAAGGGTCCGGTGTAGCGACTGAGACTGGCGACGACGAGTCGGCAGATATCAGAGACGCGTGTGTCACGTGACTTCTAAGACGGATGTCTTCAAAGTCACTGACATTCTCAAAGTAAGGACAGTCTTGTCCGAACGATGAGGTAGTCGATCGAGGTAGACTTAGGCACGATGAGCACCTAAGAAAAGATACTAGAGACTGAAGCTGAGGGGGCTTCAGAGGGAAGTATGTTCGAGGGAAGATTGAGTAGATTCAAGTTAGGGAATCTAGTACAGAGTGACCAACTACTTATACTAAGTGCAAAGGGTTAAGGGCAAGGCTACCGTACTGTAGGTAAGGGCAAAGGGGAAACGGAAAGGGTATAGGTACGCTGGTAGCAGAGCCTGATTAGTGATGTGAGGTCGAATGCGGAATGAGACTGAGAAACGTTGGAACGAGCCAACGGTAAATGATACAATGCGCAGCACGCATGAGTCAGAGGAAAGATAAGACAAGATAAGGAAAGCCACATTGGTGGCATGAGTCAGAATGAGTCATAGCCCGAAGGCACGTGCGCACGTTGGTGCGATAGGAGGGGGATGAGGGATGGGAACGGTCCCGAGGATCTGGTCAACGGATAGTCGGTAGAGAAGTACGAGCCGGAGGCATACGAGGGCGAGGACGAAGGGGAAAAATGATAGGGGGGCCATGTAGCCGATGTTACTTGTAACAATAGGCTCCTCGACTAGTATTTGAGCATATAAGAAGAGCACAAGAGCATCAGATACTGGATGAAAAGGATCAAGATGAATTTTTGAAGGAGCATACACAATATACTTTCAACTGTCGGGTCTGAGTTATTTTGACCATGTTCAAATATCTCTCATTTATCACACACATAGCTTTCTTCTAGGTGAATTTCTTGAACATCTCATATGCTTGCTGATGACTTCTGCCAGAGATGATGATATCACTGTTCAACATATAACACTGAATCCTGTGCTTCATCTAAGATCGCACAACAGCATCTTGGAGGTATGTATACTATAGATCTACAACAGTATTTGACTCAATTGATACACTCTCCAGATATCATACATCAAATCTCAGCTAGGCAACAGGCAACAGGGACCAGAACACACATAACATGATATCTGAATTTCCTGCATCATATTATTTTACGTCTCCTTTGACATTGCAACAAAAATATCAAGATTCCTAAAGAATGATTCAAGTGTTTTTGCCAAGTGTCTTTTGAAGGATTTCATTAACTTAAGACCTGCCAAATTTACACCACACCCTAATTGTTGGAGTCATCATATGGTAAGTTTCAAGTTAAGGTTGAGAATTTTAACTCAAGTTTTCGCTACTAACTAGTACTAAGCTATTTTAGACTCATATTAGCGCACCAACAGACCCTTTTGTTCTTCCTGCACCACCAATGGTCCAGCCTCTATCTGGACAGGACTTGAAGTTTCCAGATCCTCTGTCTCCCACTCCAGGTGTGAAACTCTCCAAGATCAGTACTGATGTGCGAGAACACAGGCACTGAATGGCAATCAGTCCTCGATGTTACCAAACATGGTGAGAATATACATAGGAAGCAGACTGAGGCTGTCATTGAGAAAATGAAGGCCTATACTGCTGTTCTCAGGAAATATTCTGAGTGCTACTTGGAGGCAGTATAGATGCTTACTTCATTGGCCGTTAGCTTCTGGCACAACATGTTCACTATTGTGACCTACTATGTACATCATATAGCATTTGTATATACCTGTGTATACTTCATATAATTTTGAATATTTTTGCCATGTTTGATGTTGGTTGTGCATTGTACAACACCCCAAATTCCAGATCAACATGCAAGCACAGTTCATGAACTGACTTTCTTTTTAACATCAGTTTATCTTGCAAGGGGAAGATGCATATCTCTGTTTTAATACTGGGTCTGAAGGAGCATGTGTTGTAAATCTTGTGTCACACGCTAATCTCACACTGGGTGTGGGATCTATCTTTTCCGCCAGAAAAAACAGGAAACTTTTTGAAAGAAAAGGGCAAAATTTATCCCTCATTTAATCTGTCAAAAAGTTATAAAACAAAATTATAATGGTTTTCCAACTTACCTCTCACACAAATCATGAATAAATCAAAATTTTATTATCTCAATTTTCTCATTATATCTCACATTAAAATTGTAAAATAATGTTCACATGTGTGGCCAAACAAAATTCTGGACAAATTGGAAGCAACACAGGTTATGATGTGTCTCAAAAGTGTGTTTGAGAAAAATTGAATGGAAACACACAAATTTAGGTTGGAATTTGTCTGGTGGAAAAGAGCAGAAAAAATTAAGACTCCACAACCATTTCAATGTCTCCAGTGTTTGTCTGGCAGAAAATTCAGAACAACATTGTGACCAGCTGTCACAATAAGCATAAGATGTTTTCAACAGAAAAGTAAGAAACAAATTGGGAACAGAATATTCCAATATATTCAAAATTTGTACATCTGAAAAAAGTTAAAACCATTGAAATGGAGAAATTTTGTATGTTATATGACATGAGTACTCGAATTGCCAATTGCCAATGGCTATTTGCTATTTGCTATTCACTATTTGCCATTTGCCATTTGCCATTCACCAATTGCCAGACTAACTCGAGACTTTGTCAGACTATTGGAATAATTCAGGACTTAGTCAAACTAATCAGGACTAACTCGGGACTTTCTCAGACTAACTTGAGACTTTGTCAGACTAACACAGGGACTTAGTCAGACTATTGGAATAATTTGAGACTTTGTCAGACTAACTCAGGACTTAGTCAGACTAATCAGGACTAACTTGGGAGTTTGTCTGACTGACTCGGGACTTAGTCAGAAATAATTCAGGACTTAGTCAGACATAGTCCCATCAGACAATAATAAAATTTTGATTTATTCATGATTTGTGTGAGAGATAAGTCGCCTAGGCCATCATCTGCAGGCGGCACACTCAAGTAGCACACATAGACGTCTGGAGGAGAAGGGAGAAACGAGGAGAAATACAAGGGGGGGAGCCTCAACATCTAAGGAACTACCAGTCACCAAGGCCATCATCTGCAGGCAGGACGCTCAAGTAGCACACAAAGACATGATGGGAGAAACGAGGAAAAATACAAGGGGGGGGGACAAAACGAAGCGTGAGAGCCGTACCACCGCAGATAAACTGAGGCTGGAACTGATTTATCGGACTTACGGAGTCGGGGATGGTGCTCACCACTGCTATGGTTGTAATTTCTAATATATACTTCATGGTATATTGTTTAATCCAATATATCTCTTAATGCTTTCAACTTATTCAGTTTCACCTTTGCTATATTTTTTCTATCTTCTGCTTCTCTAGTATGTTTTATCTAGAAGTAGCTTTGCTCTCACAGATAGTGTATGTAGTGCTGTCTTTGGCATGAGTAAGCTGATTATTCCACATCCTGTGGTTTAGGTTGAGCTTGACCTAGTCTATATTTTCTCTCAGAAGCTGCTAATTCTCCAGATACTAGTACTCCTCTGAAAGCTCTTTATAATCATAGAGCCTATTCTTCACTAGTGAATCATTAGTCTTAAGGTGCTTCATATCCAAAGGCTATTCATGAGCTTGTGTACAGGTTCCACAAGAGATTGCTGATATTGATATCTCAGAAATGATCTTCTGTCTTGGTCTTCTTATCTAATACAAGTGAGAACTTGTTGACTCCATACTAAATACAGCTACATACTTTTTTTGGTGCTTGGTCATGTTCTAATATAGCACTTGGTTTCTAACAGATCTATAGGGCTCTTGCTATGTGTGTTTACGATATATTGTAGTTAGAGAGGGGTGTGACATGTGTGTATTAAATAGACTATAAATGAAGTTTAAGACCAAAGTATATCTAGGTATAGATGAATTATCTCCCACTCAAATTTCTTAATACCTCTTATCTTATTTAATCTCATGTCACTAACTAACCATAATCTTGTATTATCCACACATCACTTGCTCTTATGAAGTACTGATGTTTTGTTTCCTTATTCCACTGTGCAGTATTCTACATAATATAATTGGTTATATGCTGATTTCAATTAGCTTAATGACCTGCTAGACTTAGCTAATCTTATCAAACTTGGCCAAGTCTTTTAAAGTTTCTCAGAAAGATTATGGGTTTCCTAATTTAATCTGAGATTGTGAACTAATATTAAAGACCAGTTAGATAATGCCTTAAGCTTATAATTGACTTTCTTCTTATTCTGAATGACAGAAATGGGGGCCATAGAGGTAGCAGTAAGTGAATGTGGTAGCCTATAATAGATATGGTAATAAAAGTTAACATAACAAGAAAATATAAGGAAATGACTCACCAAAGTCATATAAATTTTGTGTATTAAGTTTTTTAACAGCCAGGATATCTTCTGCTATTTGTGACTTTTGACAAGTTGCAAGGTCTTCTTCATGCCTGGTTCAACACATTGTTTATGTACTTAGAAGATAATATAATTGCAACAAAGAAATTTGGTGTTAAATAGGATATAGTATTAAGATATAAATGTTTAGAGAGAAAATTTGGACACCAAGTGTGAATGGCACATGTTTAGGAAACAGCTATCCTCACAATATTCATTCAAAAAGTATACTTTTCAACACTCTTGGGAGCAAAAAATCCTCAAGATCCACCTACATGATTTCATAATACAAGATATTAGTTTAAGTAGCAGCCTTCATGCATTTTATTAAAGATAAGTTTCCTCAGATTCATGGGCTATTATTGTAGAGAAAATTTATCTGATTTATATGCTCCAATCAACAAAAGCCTAGGAGTTCCAGCAGTGCATAATAGCTTACTGGCTTCTCATTATTGTGTCACATGATTTCCAACCAAGTGTTTGTGAGAGTTAGTGCTCGTGTGATGAGTTTAGGGCAAGCGAGGTCCTCCAGCTCAATGCTCAGAGGACCTGCGATCAATTTTAGTACTCGAGAGTGACAGCTCATACAAGAAAACGGAGAGTACATATACTAGAAACTAGAATAAATGTCGTCGCAGTCTCCGCAAATCACTAAAATACAAGTCACCGGACGAGAGATGACTGAAAAATGACCAAAAGATGACCGAGAACCAAATAGGTGACTGAAACGACCAAAAGACGACAGGGAACTGAATAGGTGAGATAAAATGACTTGGAACAGAAGAAACATTGAGTCTTTTGACTTGACCAAACGCTAGAGGGCTATTTTATATATATATACAATCAGACACAGCAAACCAAACTGAAACGAGCTGTTAACTCAGAGACTAAGGGTTTTGAGAACCATATATTAGAAGGTGAAGCAGATATGGGTGCTTGCGAATGTATTTCTGGAATTCATCCGAAGACCAGCATCCCGCTGCCTGTATCAGTGCAGGCGTGACGCCAGCTGCTGCGAGAGCAGTTGCTCTGCCGGCATGCATTGAATGTCCTGAAATTGAATGACCGAAGAAGCGTCGCAGGTAATGCATGAACCAGGCTCACATAGGGATTGTCACCGTTGATGTGAGCCACAGGTGAGGATGGTATGGGAACATAGTATCCTTGGCAGTAACATACCGTCGCAGTAAAGCGAGAGGATCCACTATTCCTCCTGCTTCTCCCAACAGCAGAATCTCACATCTGGCACCTAAAGTGCTGCTCTTGTGATGAGGCAGGGTGTACTTTGCTGACGAATTCATCAGCGTCAACAAATACTACAACACTACCTTCCGATAAGACTGATGTTTCTTGGTGTTCGGCCAACATAACTCTGCCAAATGTTGCAGAGTTTTGAATGTGGTGACAAGTAATGCCATGAACAAGGTGTTGTCGTAGGTAGGATTTAGCGTGAAGGTGCATGATACATGCGTGAGGTCTTCGAGTGTCAATGGCTGTTTGCGTTGGACAGGTTTGGATAAGTGATGTTTGCACCCTTTAAGGGTGCATGTTATGAGGAATGACACTCGAACCGAACGTACTCATGGAAAGTGAGGTTCGAGCTGATTAACGATTCCAGAGAGATAAGAGTCGACCAAACAAGGTTCAATATGATGACAGAGCCAGACAATGAAGAAGGAGAGTGTGTCCTCCGTTGGTTCAACTGCCCTGCTATGGAGACGACAAAAGTTAAGGTAAGAATTAAGATGCGAATCATATGCCAATGAAGTAGTGGCTTCGAGGACAGACCCCAAAGCCAGCGAACGTTCGAGCTGCAAATGTTCAAGTGACCAGGCTTCCCGGATGGGTTGCCTGGTCGTAGTCGGACAAGGGATCATTTTTTCCCTCCCCCCAGCGCGTCTCGAGGGGGTTCAAAGTCAAAGATTTGAGCTGAGGGAATAAGTTTTCTGATGAGCTCATTATGAAAGCATGATAAAGTGTTCACAGTGATGTTTTGGTGACCTGGGATGTGCTCTACACGAAGATCAACCTTGTGAGTGATTAACATATTGACGGAACCAAGTGACAAGGAGTTATAGGCAGGCTTTACACGAAGCGAATCAAACATGGCTACAGTGTTGGTGTTATTGGAGTAGATGAGTAGTTTAGATGGGGTTTCAGTGCATATTGCGCACAGTGTGAATGGCCGAGCATACTGCCAACACCTCGAAGAAGAAGATAGTGTTGAGAGGGGCAGCAGATGGTAATGGACACTGGCAACCGAAGTGGTCGTCTA